ACGTTTTTGTATTATGTGTGCGTGTGCACATGTGTGCACTCTCATGCTTGCGGTGTCCCTGCATGTGTGTGGCGGTCAGAGACAACGTGATGGCAGCGCTTGCTACCATTTTGAGTCTTGGAGAGTCGGCTCGGGTTTTCAGGCTTGGCGGCAAGCACATGTACCAACAGTGGCACCATCTTTCCCGTCCTACAGTCTCACTGTGTAACCAGGGTAACCTGAAACTCACCATCCTCCTGCCTCAACCTTCTAAGGGCTAGGATTGCAGGCAAACCAAACCAGGCTTTCGCATCTCTTCTGCTGGTCCTCTCCCCTCCCCTGGGACTTCCCTGTTTTCCATCCCTTAACGCTAAGTAAAAATCTGTTTTTTTTTTAAACTTTACCTGCCTTATTTATTGATTACTTAGTGTTGGGTGCATGCATGCACATGCTGTGACTTATGCATGTGGAGCTCAGAGGAACTGGCTGTCTCCTTCCACTATGCAAATCCAGGGGATGAAACCTGGCAGGTTGGCAGCAGGTGCCTTTACCCACATCGAGCCATCTCGCCAGCCCCATTTTCCCCTTTCATTTGGCCCTGCTTTTACTAATAAATAGACTTACACTTATGTGCTCCTGGTATACCTGGGCCTGGGGCTTTTCTTGGCTCCTACATCGCACAGGCAACTTCCCAAGTGCCTCCGCTGGACTCTTGGAGACAGAGGGTCCAGTAAGTCCAGCTAGGGCCAGGATGCAGGATAGCCTACAGCCCAGCTCCCTTCCATCTCCTTAATCCTCTGGCTCGGAGTCCCTGGTTCTAAGTAGATTAGGACCTTGGCCAGAAGGAGTCAGGGCAGTCTGGAGCAGACTGGAGGTCAAGAGTGTGCCAACTATTGCTGCTTGCCTGGCGCTGATCTGATTTAGGTCTGGGCAGCCGGGCTGCTGGAGACACAGAGTTTTTCTGGGAATGGCCCAAGGGCTCAAAGGAGTAGCTGGCAGCTGAGGCTGAGGGCTGGCTGTACAGGAAGCCTCAGGCTCCCTGGCAGGCAGATCTCTTGGCTAGGGACAGTTATACAGTAGACCCCAAACCCTCAGCAGGGTGATCTAGGGCCATAGAATGGCCAAGACAGAGCCACCAGCCGCCTCTTTTTCAGTGCATCCTCTCCATGGCCAGTTTCCTATGGCCTTGAGTGACCGGTCTGCTGATGTGTACTCTATGTCTCGCTGTCTCTTTTCCTTCCTTCCTTTCTTCCTTCCTTCCTTCCTTCCTTCCTTCCAAAATTATTTCCAAGGCAGGGTTTCTCTTTGTTAAACCTTTGGCTGCCCTGGAACTCGCTTTGTAGACCAGGCTGGAATCGAACTCACAGAGATCCGCCTGCCTCTGCCTCCTGAGTGCTGAGATTAAAGGCCTGCACCATTACATCTGACAGTTTTTTTTATATTACAGTAAATTTATTTGATACACGTCTCTTTATTTCACCTGACAGTTTTTTATTGTCTTTGTTACTTGTTTTGAGATGGTCTCATGTAGCCAGACTAACCACAGACTCATTGTGTAGTCAGTGACGTCTTTGAATTCTTTACCATCCTGCCTCTGTTTTCTGTGTGCTTGGAATTACAGGTGTACACTACCTGACTTGGCTTATGTATTGATTTATTAACTTATTTTTGTGGTTCTAGGGATGGAATTCAGGGCCTTGAACTTTCTAGGCTCTAATGTAATATGCCACACAGCCCCTCACTGGGGGATTCTAGGCAGGTGCTCTACCACTGAGCCACACCCCAGCCCCTCACTGGGGGATTCTAGGCAGGTGCTCTACCACTGAGCCACACCCCAGCCCCTCACTGGGGGATTCTAGGCAGGTAGTTTACTGCTGAGCTGTATACACAGCCTTCTTATAATAATTTTTTGTTGCTGTTATTGGAAACAGAATTCCACTGAGGTTCTCAGGATGACTTGAACTCATTCTGTAGTGCAAGTTAACCATGAACTTGAGATGCTCCTGTTCGGCCTTCTGAGTAGTTGAAATATCAGGGTGGGCCAGTAGGCCTTGCTAAAACCATTTGTTTTATTTTTTTCCCCCTGTACTTTTACTTATCTGTATGTGTGCATGTATGTGTATGCGCGCCCACCAACCGCCACATGCCTGTGGAGGTCAGAGGATAACTTGCTAGAGTCAGTTCCCTCCTACTACTGTGTGGCCCCCAGGGGGTCTACTCAGGTCCTTAGTAAGTACCTTTCCTCTCTGAGCCATTTTATTTCACTGGCCCTAAAACCATTTTTTTTTTTTCCTGTAGCCTGAGCCAGTCCTGGGTCCAGAGCTGTGTTCTCTGTTCTGTTTTTAATGATCTGGTGTTTCAGTTACATTTTTTTACCCACATATGACACCTGCTATTTTGAGGTTCCCACCACACTGCAACCAGGCTTGGCCTGGTGGGTGTCTGGGATTCTGTGCCTGGTCCGTTGAATACATCAGACAGTGAATTGGGCCCTGAGGGTCAGCCGTGGTGGGCAGACACAGTTTTGTCCCTTGTAGAGTTTATAGCCTGGGAGTCAGTGGTCGTGGCAGTAGACATCCTAGGCTTGGTGCCCTTTTAAGCTGTGGGTCTGGAGAGCCCTGCCGCCCAGCTTTCCCTACCCCACCCAGTGAGAGTCTAGAATCTCTGTTGACAGGTGGCAGACAGGTGGTAAACAGGGTGTGGAATCTACAGAGCTATCCATGATGACACACCCAGCCAGGGTCCTTAGAGGGCTCTGGGGAACAAGCTTCGAGTGTCCTGCCCCGCCCCTGCTCCTGCCCCTTGCCTCCTTTTGCTTGGGTTATGAGAGGCCCCTAAGCTCAGAGGCCGCCTGTGGGAACCCCTATCCTATCCCTAGGGACAGTCCTGGAAGAACAGGATCAAGCCAGCCACCAGCAGTCAGCAGCAATCACGTCTTCGCATTTAGGCTTGAGCGAGGCAAAGAGGCACAGAAGGAGCTCTGTGGAGCCCCTGTGAGTTGGGACAAAGTCCTTTCCTGGGGAATCCCTAGTTGAGGAAGTGACCTGTGCTCTGTCTGCTGTGGCCGTCCATCCACACCTGCTCCAAGCCCACGTCCCACATCCAGGAAATAGACTCAGGCTTCAAGGCAGTGGCCTTGATCTGGGCACTGGTGACCAAGCCCAGAGGTGTGTACAGAACCGTAGAGGGCAATGCCAGCCTCGCCATGGATGAGCCTGTCAGGTGCCTTTCCGACAGGGCTGGTTAAGGGATGTGGACACCGGCCAGTCGTCCCAGTCTGTGTTTGACAGGTGGGAGAGAGCAAGAACAAGAGTCCAAACAGCCCAAGCTGCAAAGTAAGGAAGGCCTGTTCAACACACGGGGTGGGAGGGTGCCGTGGAGGGTGTGTGAGCAGCAGGCTGTGACTAGAGTTTCTACATGGAAAACACTGGCAATTAGGACCCATCTGGCAGGCTAGGGTGCTCATTGGCTCGCTTTGGTTATGGATTGAATACCTGGGGGACCGTTCCTTGGAGCACAACCCTCAACTGTGTTGCGCTTGTGTCTTTTCATGGAGAGACATAACCAAACATCTGCCTCTGGAGGGTACTGACAACAGACTGAGGAGAGAATTCCATCCTAGGCTAGCTTGGTGAGGGAGGGAGGGAGGGAATGAAGGAGGGAGGGAGGGGGAAGGGAGGGAGGGAGGGAGGGAGGGAGGGAGGGAGGGAGTTTTGCTTACTTACAGAAGCGTAGATGTCCTTGTTATTGTTGTGAGGAGACACATCCAATAAGATGACTTATAGAGGAAAAGCATTCCACTGAGGGCTTGCTTACAATTTTAGAGGCTTAGTTAGTTCATGGCCCTCGTGGCAGGAAGCAGACAGCCATGGCCCTGAACCAGTAGCTAAGAGCTTTACATCCTGATCCACAGGCAGCAGGCAGAGAGAGAACTTTGGAAACATCAAACAAAGCCCACCCCTAGTGATACCCTTCTGTTGACTGAGGATTCTGTCCTGCCTGGTTTCTGTCCTCCTACCAGGTCCCACAGCCGTTTAGCCCCCAAAGAAATCACACAGAGGTCTCTATTAATGATAAACTGATTCGCCCATTAGCTCAGGCTTCTTATTAACCTTTATCACTTATATTAACCCATTATTCTTATCTATGTTAGCCACATGGCTCGGTACCTTTTTCAGTGAGGCAATCACATCCTGCTTCTTCAGTAGATGGGCCAGGACTGGGGAGGAATGGGCTTCCTTTTTCCCAAACCCTTCCTGCGGTAAGGCCACACCCACTCCACCAAGACCACACCTCCTAATCTTTCTAATCCTTCTCGAACACTTCTCCAGTTGGGGATAAAGTATTCAGCCATACCATCCGGTGGGAGCCATCCCTGTTCAAACCACCACAATGGGTGAGGGGTTTCTTGCTGTAATGGGGGTGATTCAAAAGCAGCTGCATCACCGGAAAGCCCCCCTCAGCATGGTTGATGCCATTCACAAAAAAGTTGCCTCTCTGGAATTCTGCATGAGCTACAGACAGCTCAACAGAAGCGTCCTGTATCCCTTGCTCCATCCCCTCACACACAATTGCTCTCTGCCTTTTATAAACTTTGGGAGGGGCCTGTCAATCTTATAACCTCCTGAGCACTTTGTAAGCAGCTGAGTTTCCTTGGTCTTGTAAGCTTCCTGAGCCTTGGGAGTTTCCTGAGCTTCCTGAGTTATGTAAATTGCTTTGTTCTTGAGTTTCAAGAACCTATCCCTAGGAGGGAATGTTTAAACACTCTGAAAATGTTTCAGATGGGAGGAAGTAGGTTATACATCAGTCACTTAGATCTCTGCAGGTTTCTGCCCTAATGGCTCTTCTAGCCAGTGAAGGCTCAAATCCCTGTCAAACCTTTGAGGCCCTTGAATGATGGGAAGGAAGGCCATTTGGCAGTCTGTCCCACTTGTGAATTCCAGGTGACCCTGGGAGCCAGGTATGCCTACCCAAGTGTACCCTGTGCCCAGTACCCACTCTGCTCTCACTCTTTCCTCTAGGTGACCATGGCCTTGCTGGGGAAGCACTGTGACATCCCCACCAACGGCTGCGGGTCTGAGCGCTGGAACTCCAACTTCGCCCGCAAGGACGAGCTCATCAACAGCCTGGTGTCCGCCTTAGACTCTATGGTGAGTGTCTGAGGAACAACAGCTAAGGTTTTCTTCTGGCCGCCACACACACATGCAAACTTGGGTATAGACACCAAGATATGTATGTATGGATCTATGTACGTATGGATGTTCATACGCAGACATGTCTGGAATCCCACAGTCAGAGGTTGCAATAGGAAGATCTTGATTTTGAGAACGCCCTGGTCTATAGAGTAAAATCCTAAAAGAAGACTGAGCTCACTGATAAAGCACGTTTAAACGCTGTGGAGTGGGCTCTTCTAGGTTCGAATCCCAGCCCCAGGGGCGCGCAAAGCAAGCAAAAACAAAAGGTAGATCTGTCTGGCATCAATTAGTATTTTTATATGACGTGGAAGCTCAGAAGGCAGCACCTTGCCTGAGGTCACACAGAGTGATCAAGTACAGTCACTGGTCTCCTCAGCGTGGGGCGGGGGCTCCTTTTTATTTCATTCTTGTTATGGGCTGCTCAAGGTCATATTGAGGCCTGAGGTGGGAGACACCTTCAGAAACAAGCTAGGTTCTAGCTCTTTCTCTACAGCGGCCATCCCATGTGTCCTGAACCTCACTGACCTGTTGGTGATGGTGAGTATGACTGACCTGTGCCCTGATGGACAGCGCCACCAGCCGCAGGGGGCTATTTATATTTTGTTGTCCTGAGCCGGTCTCTCATGCTGTAGGCTGCCCTTGAACTCAGCCCTCCCCAGGGAGCTCCTGCTTGGCTAAGAGGTGGGACTGTGGCCCAGGGAGGTTGACACAGATCTTTGTAGGTGGGGTCTTCTGACGCACTGGTCAGCTCTGTCCTGCCAGCCAGCTCCCAAATAACCACACAGAGACTTATTATTAATTATAAATAATGCTTAGCTGATACTCAGGCTTGTTACTAACTAACTTTTTCCTTTTTTTTTTTTTTTTTTTTTTTGGTTTTTTCGAGACAGGGTTTCTCTGTAGCTTTGGAGCCTGTCCTGGAACTAGCTCTTGTAGACCAGGCTGGTCTCGAACTCACAGAGATCCGCCTGCCTCTGCCTCCCGAGTGCTGGGATTAAAGGCGTGCGCCACCATCGCCCGGCTCTTTTTTTGGTTTTTCAAGATAGGGTTTCTCTGTGCTTTTGGAGCCCGTCCTGGAACTAGCTCTTGTAGACCAGGCTAGTCTCGAACTCACAAAGATCCGCCTGCCTCTGCCTCCCAAGTGCTGGGATTAAAGGTGTGCGCCACCACCACCCGGCTCCCATCATTCTTTTAACCCATAATTCTTATCTGTGCTCTACCACACGGCGGTACCTTTTTTCAACATGGCACATTCATCCCCGGCTTCCTCTGTGTCTGGCTGGTGACTCTGCCCTTCTTCCCAGCATTCTCCCTGTCTGGCTCTCACACCTAATCTCTTCCTGTCTAGCTATCGGCCAGTTGGTCTTTATTAAGCTAATGAGAGCTACATAGCTACATAATGTACAACAGGATTAATCTGCAGCAGAACTTCTTCAAGTGCTAGTTGGCACAAAGACCAGCATTTATTAAGTGCCAACTGTGTGCCACAGGCTTTTGCTTTCCAGGATTTTCATACTGTATTCTTGGTTATAACTTGGGGCCACAGAAAAAAGCCAGCGTGATGTAGCCACCTAGAATTCTGGGTGGGAGGGTGGGTGGGGTGCATATGTTGTATGTATGCATGTTATATATGTGGGGGCATGTACCGTATGCATACATGTTTTTATCGTAGTTTATCTTAGTTCTTGGCTTGTTTGTTTGAAACAGAATCTCACTCTATAGTTCAGGATGACCTGGAACTTACCATGTAGCCCAGGCTGGCCTCCCATGTAGCCCAGGCTGACTTCATACTCATGGCAATCCTCCTACCTCAGCCTCCCTGAGTGCTGAGATTACAGATAGGAGCCAGCACACCCAAGAAAGCCTACAGCCCCAGAGGTTGACATCCGGTGTCTTCCTCCATCTGTTGAGTTCTCGATGTCTCACTTGGACCCAGACCTTGCCAATTCGACTACCTAGCCAGCTAGCTCCCGGGGTCTGCTGCTTACACCTCCCAGTTCATGGGGCGATAGAAGGACTGCCACAGTCACCCAACATTTACATAGGTGCCGGGCATCCAAACTCTTATCCCTACGCTTCTGCTGCAGGCTTTACCACTGACAGCCCCAGGCTCACTCTGCCGCATGCCTTATCCACTGACAGCCCCAGGCTCACTCTCTGCTGCAGGCTTTTCCCACTAACACCCTCCCCGCCCAGCCTCACTCCCAGCCCTTTTCACAGGAGTCCTGGGAATCGAACTCAGGTCTCTGTGCTTGTAAGACAAGAAATTTACCCAGTGAGCCATCTGGATAGCCCTGCTTATAGAGATAGATCCTTTTCCTAGAACCAGTATATTGAAATTCTACTGCCACGTTCTCCAGGCTGCATGGTGCCTGTCTTTTTACTGTTTAGAGAGGGCTGTCACTACCTTGTATCCCAGTACAAAGGGACCACGTGGGCTGGAGGGCTCATCTCTCATCGGTAGCCCCATCTCTGTAGCTTGGGCTAGCCTCAGGCTCTTCATCACCCTGTTTCAGCCTCCTTAGTGCTGGATTACAGTCTTTTTTTTTTTTTTTTTGGTTTTTCGAGACAGGGTTTCTCTGTCACTTTGGTGCCTGTCCTGGAACTAGCTCTTGTAGACCAAGCTGGTCTCGAACTCACAGAGATCCACTTGCCTCTGCCTCCTGAGAGCTGAGATTAAAGGTGTGCACCGCCACCGCCAGGCCAGGCTAGTCTTGATTTCACTCACATACCTTCCCCCACCCCACAGTGCTCAGCGCTCTCCAAGCTGAACACGGAGGTGGCCTGCGTGGCGGTACACAATGAGAGCGTCTTCGTGGTGGGCACCGAGAAGGGACGGATGTTTTTGAACACGCGGAAGGAGCTGCAGTCAGACTTCCTCAGGTTCTGCCGTGAGTACCCCACATTCTCCATGCCCTGGCCCATCCCTGTGTCCCCCGCTTTGTCTAGTCCCCCAGAGCCTGTTGGAGGAACGAAGTAGACATGCTTGTTCCCAATGAAGTCTGTTAGAACCGGTCAGCGACTCCCGTCATTGAACCCTACCGCTAGCCACACCCATGTCCGCATTTTTAGAGGGGACACTGAGGCCCAGTGCAGTCACCTGATTCTGCTCTATTCTTTAATAGTGCTGAGGATCAAACCTAGACCTTCGTGCCTATTTAAACAAGAGCGCGCTACTAGGCTACTGAGCCATACTCTCGGCTATCCATCTACCTGTTTTTTTTTTTAAGATATGGTTTTTGTTTGTTTGTTTCATTTTCAAGACCGGGTTTCTCTGTTTGAGAGCTCTAGCTGTCCTGGAACTCGCTCTGTAGACCAGGCTGGCCTCCAACTCACAGAGATCCGCCTGCCTCTGCCTCCCAAGTGCTGGGATTAAAGGTGCACGCCACCACTGCCCGGCTGGTCTATATATAGTGTGTGCTGTATACAGACATCAGAATTGGCAGAGTTAGTCCCAGGAATTGAACTCAGATCTTCAGGCTTAGCCACAAGCTGCTTCTTCTTCTTCTTCTTTTTAATATTTTTTATGGTTTATTCAACTTTATTTTATGTGCATTGGTGTGAAGGTGTCAGATCCCCTGCAACTTTATCTTCAGACAGTTGTGAGCTGCCATGTGGGTGCTGGTAATTGAACCTGGGTCCTCTGGAAGAGTAGTCAGTGCTCTTAACCCCTGGGCCATCTCTCCAGCCCCATTCCACAAGCTTCTTTACCTGCTGAGCCATCTTGCTGACCCTCTGTTGTCTTAAGACAGGTTCTCCTGTAGCCCAGGCTAGCCTTGAATTCCTGGTTCTCTGGCCTCTGCTCAGGAACAGAAGGTACTCCTCATTCCTTCTGGTCTATTGGTGCTGATGTGGAACTTAGGGTTTCTTGAATGTTAGGTGAGCATTTTGCCAAATGAGCCACATTCCCGGCCCCAGTTCTACCTCTTGACTTAGTACATTTGAGGATAGAGACCAGCCATTGTCCAGCTAAGATATTTAGCTGTTAACACGGTCTCTTCCCCTGACCTCTGCCTTGTGGGGTGATATTGTTTTTGTTGTTTGTTTTGGGGTAAGAAGCGCTCAGTATGCATGGGCTGTGGACGATGGATGGCTCTTGGTCAGGTGGGCCTCAGAGGTAGAATGCCAGCCTAGAATCCCCCAGGCGGTGGTTCAGCAGTAGAGTGCTTTACCTAGTATTCCATCCCCAGCAACACCAAACCCAAACAACACCTCATGCTGGTTCATTGACCTGAAACCTCAATACTTTTCCCAGAGGGTCATGAAAATGTCACCCATAGTGTGCCAATGAGAAATGGAGGCACGGTGGGCTTAGCCCAATTTGGAAGGTGTGTGTATTAATCGAGGTTCACTAGAGGAATAGAACTTACAGGGAAAAAATAATTTATTACACACACACACACACACACTCAGTTTACTAGAGTAGCTTCAGAAGGTCCAAGGATCCAACCTGTTGAGAAGAATCCACCAAACAAGCCTTTAATCCCAGTGCTTGGGAGGCAGAGGTAGGCAGCTCTCTGTGAGTTCAAGGACAGCCTGGTCTACAGAGTGACCAAAGCTACAGAAAGAAACCCTGTCTTGAAAAACTGAAACAAATTCAGTTATTGTTAAGTCCACAAGGCTGGATGTCTCAGCTGGTCTTCAGTATTCATCAGAATCCTGAAGAAGTACGCTCTGGTGCCATGAAGGAGTGAACTTGCTAGCGGTAGTGAGAGCAAGCAAGCAAAGAGCATGTCAGCTTCTGGCTTCTGTGACCTTTATATAGGCTGCCAACGGAAGGCGTGACCCAGATTTAAGGTGGATCTTCCCTCCTCAAAGATCCTATTAGGGCCAGGTGGTGGTGGCACACGTCTTTAATCCCAGCACTCGGGAGGTAGAGGCAGGCGGTTCTCTGTGAGTTCAAGGCCAGCCTGGTCTACAGAGCTAGTTTCAGGGCAGGCACCAAAGCTACAGAGAGAAAGCCCATCTTAAACACACACACACACACACAAATAAATAAATAAATTAATAAATAAATAAAATAGGAAAATAAAGATCCGATTAGAAGCGGTGGAACTTTCTATTTCAAATGATTTAATTAAGAAAAAACCTCTCACAGATGTCCCCAGCCATTTGGATTTTACTTAATTCCAGATTTAGTCAATTTGATCACTGTCTTAGTGAGTGTTCTATTGCGGTGAAGAGACACCATGACCACAGCAACTCTTATAAAGGACACCATTTAACTGGGACTGACTTACAGTTTCAGAGGTTTAGCCCATTATCATCATAGTGGGAAGCATGGTGGCACGCAAGCGACATCGTGCTGCAGAGGTAGCTGAAAATTCTACATCCAGGTCCACAGGGAGCAGCTAGCTCCCAGTGACAGGCTTCCTCCTGCAAAGCCACACCTCCCAATCCTTTCAAATAGTGCCACTCCCTAGTGACCAGGCATTTAAATCTAAGAGCCTATAGGGTCACCATGACAACCAAGAATAGCCACCCCGGGGAGCGTGGTTCAAGGCCTGGACTCCAGTTCTCAGACCCTTGCTCTTTCTCCCCTCAGAGCAGGGGTCTCTGTGGACACACAGGTACCAGCTGTCGATGGTTTGTTAGTAATTTTCCGGGTCTCCTGGGCCTTACACCTAAGTCCTCCCAGATCTATCCAGTACTCATGAGTCACTAGTGGGGTCTGGAGCTAGCTGTTTCCCTAGGAGCCCGAGACTACGTCTACTCTGCTCTCCCAGCCTGTACTGTCTCTAAGGTTGGGGGGGGAGCTGGATTCAAGTAATGGGTGTGGCTGGGTCCTGTAGCCCCTCCCAGCATTTTAGGGACAGTGTGCCTTGTTTTCCACAGCCAGAATGAGTCCCTATTTATAGCACTCAGAATCGGGATAGTTTGTTTCAAACTTGGTTTCCAAGGAGAGCCAGCTCCAAGCTGGAAGGGACCAGAAGACCCTGTCCATCCTGTTTGGTTGTCCCTTCAGGCGCGACTTTCATCCCAGTACTTGGGAGGCAGAGACAGGCAGATCTCTGTGAATTCAAGGTCACCCTCCTCCACGTAGGGAGACTCTATTCCCCAAAACTAAAAGAATATTTCATAAAGATCCCCTCACATTCACACACACACACACACACACACACACTACAGCTGGGGGGGAAAAGGGTTTATTTGGCTAACAATTCCAGGTTGCGGTCGTATTTCAGAGGCAGGGACTCAAGCAATTAGTCTCATCACATCCACAGTCAAGAGCAGGGAGCTTGTTTGGGCTCGTGGAACTTTCTCCTGTTTCCTATAGCTCAGAACCCCATTGCCTAGATAATGGTGCAGCCCGTGATGGGCCGGGTCAATTAACAATCAAGATGATTCCCTACTTAATGTCTGTGCCCATAGGCCAATTGATCTAGATCAGTGGTTTTCAACTTCCTAATGCTGCAACCCTCATGTTGTGGTGACCCCTGCAACCATAAAATCATGTCCGTTGCTACTTCATACCTGTAATTTTGCTACTGCTGTGAATTGTACTGTAAATGTCTGTGTTTTCCTGTGGTCTCAGACATCCCCCATGAAAGGGTCGTTTGACTCTCCCTCCCTCAAAGGGGGTCATGGCCCACAGACTGAGAACCGGGGAACTAGATGATTCATTGGAGACATCCTTCTCGGGTTGTGGCAAATTGTCATTTAAAACTAACCGTTGCCGACTCTCCATTGTTTTCCATGTGAATGGAGCAGAAAACTAGGGCTTAGGTGGGTAGCAAGAGCGTGGGTTCGTATGAATATAGAATGGAGTGTGTGAAGCAGAAGTTCATGGCGTCTCAGTTCCGAGCCGGACTTGATGGGCTTTTTTGAGCGATCGCAAACTGAGGCACAGAGAGGGAGAGGACAACCCTGAAGCCAACCAGCAAGTGCGTGTCCAGACTGAGACCTGCAGTCTTTGCTGGCTCTCAGCAGGGTGCTCACGTTCTTTCGTTCGTTAATTCATTCATTCATTCATTCATTCACTGGTGCCTCTGACTCTGGGGGCTTAACAGCAGTTTATGGTTCGTGTGCTCTCATCTCACAGGGGGACCCCTATGGAAAGATCCAGAAGCAGGGCACCCTAAAAAGGTGCAGCGCTCCGAGGGTGGTGGCCGGAGCATCCCGCGGTCCTCGCTGGAGCAGTGCTCGGATGTGTACCTGCTGCAGAAGATGGTAGAGGAAGTGTTTGATGTTCTTTATAGTAAGATCCTTCCTCATTCCATTCCGGAGAGGGGCGGGCGGGAGACCAGCCTACCCACACCTGCCCTGTCTAGTTCAGTCCCTTCCAGATCATCCCCGCCCACCTCAGCCAAGGCCCCGCCCATCAGCCCAGCCTCACTCCACCCAGCTCGATCGAACTGCACTCCAAACTGTCTAGCCCTGCCCAGTGGTGTCTGACCCAGCCTAACCTCCTTAGCCCAGTCCCACCATATCCAGGCCAGCCCAGCCGTGCCCTCCCAGCATAACCACATCCATCTTGACCCAGCCTCACTCAGCCATTCTCCAAACCTAGCTCCACCTGCTCGGCCAGTCTCAACCCCGCCTTAACTGCTTTAGCCCCGCCCACCGCAGCTGGGCCCTTACCCGGTCCTGCTTTCCTATTCATCCCCTTCAGCGCAGGCCTTCCCTGCCAAATCCAATTTAGCCCCACCTGCCTCACCCCAGCTCTGCCACACCCCACCCAACTCAGCCTACTCCCGTCTGACTGTGCCCTACCCAGCTCACCCCTGCCTTGCCCACCTCAGCCTAGCCCTGCCCAGCAACCACGTCAGCACTGTCCTCGCCCTTCCCAGGCTAGCCCCGCCCACTTCTGCCCAGCTGCGTGTATCTGTGCCCCACCCAGGCATACTCCACCAAGACCAATCAAACTCCACACTGCTTAGAGCCCACCCCTGCTCAGCTGTGCCCACCCACTTTCGCCCAGACCCACCCAGCTACATTCTAAGCCAATCCATTTGCCCTCAACCCAGCTCTGCCTACTTCAGCCCGCTCTGTCTTCCCCGCTTAGCCCTGCCCTAACCACTTTAGCCCAGCCTCACCCAGTGTAGCTGCCCAGCAATGACCTACCCAGGTCAGCCCTGCCCTTACCCTGCTCAGGCCCCAGTCTAACCCTGCACACTTCTGCTCAGCTTTACCGAGTTGTTCCCCATGCACCTCGTCCCAGACCCACACAGCCTGGCCCTCTCCCGTCTCACCCAGTAGAGCAGGCCTCTGCGAGACTCGTCTTTCTATGCCTTAGCCCCTTTCCAGCTCCAAACTCGCAGGCGTGAGAGTCCCTTTCCTGGGCAGCCGCCTCTTACCAACTCCCCACCCCATGGTCCTCCACTTCTGCCTCCTGGTCATTCTGGGACCGAGGCTATCTTCCCTCGGTTAAACCTGAGGTTAAAATTTGGTGTAGCATCCCTGGCAAAGGTCAGTCTACTATCTTGGCATAGGGCCTTCCTGTCTCCTCTCTCCCGTCCTCAGACATACACAGTAGGCATCCACAGAACACATCTACAGGCTGGTGTTCATTTTATACCACGTCTGCAGCAACGAGGGACCCAGAGTCCCTCTCCAAGGGGGAGTCACCTCACATTGCCTGGCTCCCAGTGTGTCTAGCCAAGTCCCTGCCAGTACTGAGCTTCACCGTTTGCTCCTTGACAGGTGAGGCTATGGGCAGGGCCAGCGTGGTACCTTTGCCCTACGAGAGGCTGCTTAGGGAGCCGGGGCTCCTGGCCGTGCAGGGACTGCCCGAGGGCCTGGCCTTCCGGAGGCCAGCCGAGTATGACCCCAAGGCGCTCATGGCCATTTTGGAGCACAGCCACCGAATACGGTTTAAGCTCAGGAGGTGAGTAAGCCCCTGTCCTAGTTTTGTTTCCTTTCGCTGTGTTAAAAATACCAACAAAAGCCCATTAAGGGAGAAAGGGTTTATTTGGCTCACAATCCCGAGTCACAGTCCGTCACTGTAGGGAGGTCAAAGCGACAGGAATTTGAATCAGCTAGTCACATTACATCCCTCAGTCAAGAGCCAAAAGCAGTGAATTCAGGCATGCGTGCCAGCGCTCAGCTTGTTTACTCTTAGCTCAGAATCCCTTGCCTAGGGAATGCTGCCACCCACGGTGGGCTGGGCCTGCCCACCTCAGTGTAGTCAAGAAGGTCTCCCTATAGACATACCCACGGGTCAGCCTAGTCTAACTCCTTCACTGAGACTCTTTCTTCCAAAGTGATTGTAGATGAAGTCAAATCGACGATTCAAGCTTTCAGAGAGTGGCGGTACGTGACTTAATCTCCACACTCATGAGGGAGACATAGGTGGATCGCTGAGTTTGAGGCTACCCTGGCAGATTCGAAGCCAGCTAGGGCTACACAATGAGATTGTCTCCCATAAAAACAGAAGACAAATAAATCTGTCACATCCTGTACCCAACCAGAGAGCAGAAAGTTAGAGAGACCCCAAGGGAACCCTTTAGGGAAAGCTTTGGGTCCAAAGGAGGAAGCAAGACCAAGGTCTGGGCCGGGCGGTGGTGGCGCACACCTTTAATCCCAGCACTCAGGAGGCAGAGGCAGGCGGATCTCTGTGAGTTCGAGACCAGCCTGGTCTACAAGAGCTAGTTCCAGGACAGGCTCCAAAACCACAGAGAAACCCTGTCTCAAAAAAAAACAAAAAACAAACAAAAAAAAAAGACCAAGGTCCGGTCCTATAGCATAATGTGAGTCAGGACATGACCGTGGGAGTTTCCCAAGGGCCTTACTGCTGTGTCAGTGTCCAGCAGAATTCTGACTTGGGAAAGAGTCACCCGAAAGGCTGTGCAGAGATCAGGGACAAATGATTGACAATGTGTAGAGATGTGGTTATCAGTGGGGATGCACGGCTTTAATCCCAACACTTTTGGGGAAGTCGAGGTGAGAGAATCAAGAGTTCAAGGTCATCTTCAACTACACCGTAAGTTCGAGGTTACCTTGGCTACGTGAGAACCTGTCTCAAAAACATAAATTAGTTTTAAAAGGCTTGAGCTGGGAGAGCCACACGGCCTGGATATGAGCTTAGGCTGTTAATGAGATTCATAAAAGACTGATGGGAAGTGAGGTCAAGGCTACCAGGGGCGCAGCATACCTGGGGACCTCGTGTTGTCTTAGCTGCTAAGTCTTCGCCAGCAATGCATGAGCAGGTGTGGAGGAGGGGCAGATGGGATGGGAAGGAGCCAGGTGGAGGATGGGGTTGGTGGCCTGGAGAACTGAGGCAGCTTGGGGCGGGCCTGGGTCTTCAGTGGTTGCCACCTGGTATCGGGCATTATGCCCGTGCCACCAGGCTCGTGTCCTTACCTATGATGTCGGGCCTGGCTCCCATCCCACTCCCTTGGAATACCTGTAGTACCAGCTCAGTTATATTCTCTAGTTACATAGGCTGTGGAGGGAGAGATTGACAGACAAGAGTAGGTATTCAATGCAGTTCCTATCTCTTCCTTCACCCAGGCCTCCTGATGATGGTGGACAGGACTCAAAGGCACTGGTGGAGATGAATGGTGTCACCCTGCTACCCAAGGGGTCCCGAGACTGCAGTCTGCATGGCCAGGCCTCCAAGGTCACTCCCCAGGACCTGCCCCCCACCGCCACCCCATCCTCCGTGACCAACTTCCTGTACAGCACTTCAGTGCCCAACCACCCCATCCGGGAACTCAAGCAGGAGGCACCCACCTGCCCATTGACCCCCAGCGACCTGACCTTGGGCTGGCCTGTACCTGAGTCCCAGGTCCCTAGTGCCCAAGATTTCTCCGACTGCTGTGGTAATGCTGCGTTTGGGGACCTGCGTGTCTCTCTGGGTGGTTGCCTCTAAGGAGAAAGCATTTCTGAGCAGGGGTGGGTTTTGTCAAGACCCACTTCAACTGGAGCCTCCTCTTGGCCTTCCACAAGGCCTTGAACAGACCTTGGATGCCGAGAGGCATCCCCCCCCCCCCCCCCCGCTGTGGAGAGCGTAAATAAACTAATCGGGGGTGATGGAATGGTCCAGCAGGTGCTTGTCAATTGGCTTCACAACCTGAGTTCAATCTCTCCAGACTCACGTGGTGAAGGAGAAAATTGAATCCCACAAGTTGTCCTCTGGCAGCCATACATGCACGCATTCACGCATGCATGTGCATGCACACACACCCCCCCAAGAGATGACTGCAATTAAAAAAGAAATAAAATCATATGCATTTAATGAGCACCTACTGCATACACTGCTTAGGTTTAAGATTTAGGAAGAAGAGAAGGAACAGCTAGGAATGAAGGAAATGTGAGCTCTATCCTGGCTGTGTATGCCCGGGCAAGTCTCGATCTCACTGAGCCTCAGTTTCTTCGTTTGTGAAAATGGGGTACTTCTGGAGTATCCCTTATCTAAGATTCTTGGGATCGAGATTCCTAAAACAGCCCGGGCGGTGGTGGCGCACGCCTTTAATCCCAACCCTTGAGAGGCAGAGGCAGGCGGATCTCAGTGAGTTCGAGTCCAGCCCGGACATTTCAGACTTGGGTGTTGGAGATGGCTCAGTTGATCGAGTGCTTGCCTAATTAGAGGCACCTGTCGCTAAGCCCAGTGACCTCCGTTTAATTTCTGGGACCCACCTCATAAAAGAGAACCACCTCCCACAAGTTGTGTTCTGATCATTTATAAGTAAATGAATAAATTAATTAAGAGAATGAGAAGAAAACGGGGAGCCTGACCTGCTCTCGTGGTGCCTGCCCCGGGCATCTCCCAGGCTGGTATAGAGCAGCTGGGATCCATGGTTAGGGATGTGGGTTGCCTGGAACCTGGGAATCACGGGGCTCCCAGTTCTAGTTTCTCCGAGGTATCTGGGACCCCTCCAAAACGTATGCCTTTCTTTGCCCCTTGTTTAGGACAGAAGCCCTCAGGACCTGCTGGGCCTCTCATCCAGAATGTCCATGCCTCCAAGCGGATCCTCTTCTCCATTGTCCATGACAAGTCAGGTAGGCCAGCGCCCTCGGCAGTGACCCGGCCAGAGTGGTTTTCTGAGGGGAAAATGGGTCCTGAAGATACTGGTGAGAGAGAGAGGAGCAGTTTGGCGCAAGGGGCTGGGAGTCAAAGCAGCCACGGGCGTCACAAATGTCCCCAAACTACAACTTAAAATAGCGTTTGTTACTACCTAGTTTCTGCGTGTATGTTAGTTTTCTCATTGCCGTGGAGTTACTTTTCTCTTTGCTGTGATAAGACACTGACCAAAAACAACTTAAGGGAGGAAGACTCGGTTGTAGCTCGTAGGTCAAAGGGTTACAGTGTGCCAAGTAACCTCCCGGAAGACCTGGCGGGCGGAGTCTGAGGTGCCTGGTCACACAATCAGAGACCGGAAAGAGATTGGAGGCTGGTGTTCGGCTTGTTTCTTCTTTTGATATAATCTGGGATCTCAGCTACAGAATGGTACTTCCCTGTCCTGAAACCCCCTCCCAAACACACTCAGCCGGTTGGTCATTTCCATGGTGATTCTGAATCCTCTTCAAGTTGGCAAGCAAACCTTATTATCATAGCGGATGAGAAAATAGTTTGTGTGTAGGGTCTCTTGCAAGCTCGTCGGCATGTGTCACCCGGGCGGCAGTCTCATCTGAGGGTTTGGCTGAAGCTGGAGAGACATGCATAAGGAAGGTCACCCTTGCAGCCTGGATCAGAGGCTTCAGTTCTGCACCACCTGGGCTAGTTTACTTCAGGACAGCCGAACAGGCTCGCAACTTTGCGGCTGGCGTCCTCAGGCTTGGTGGTCCAAGACAGGAAGGAGGAAGCCTGTTTTTTTTTGTGACCTCACTTCAGAAGTGACTATCATTTCTGACCCCATTCTATCCACGAGAAGCCCAGAATGTTCCAGCCAGTGCTCAGAGGGGAAAGAATTATACTCTTCCTGTGAGAGAAGAAATATTTAAAAAGTTAGGTATGAGGCTTTAATTCAGCACTCAGGAAGGAGAGGCAGGAGGATCTCTGAGTTCGAGGCCAGTCTGGTTTACATAGAAAATACCAGACTTGCCAGAGCTACATAGTGATACTCTGCCTCAAAAATAAAGGAAGGAGGGCTGGAGAGATGGCTCAGCGGTTAAGAGCATTGCCTGCTCTTCCAAAGGTCCTGAGTTCAATTCCCAGCAACCACATGGTGGCTCACAACCATCTGTAATGAGGTCTGGTGCCCTCTTCTGGCCTGCAGGCATGCACACAGACAGAATATTGTATACATAATAAATAAATAAATAAATAAATAAATAAATATTTAAAAAAATAAATAAAGGAAGGAGCCGGGCGGTGGTGGCGCACGCCTTTAATCCCAGCACTCGGGAGGCAGAGGCAGGCGGATCTCTGGGAGTTCGAGACCAGCCTGGTCTACAGAGCTAGTTCCAGGACAGGCTCCAAAGCCACAGAGAAACCCTGTCTCGAAAAAAACCAAAAAATAAAATAAAAAAAAAATGAAGGAAGGAAGGAACCCTTGTATGGGTAGCTCTCAGCACTTGGAACTGAGACAGGAAGCTCGTCTTTGAAGCTAACCTGGGCTATGCAGTAAGGCTCTGTCTCTAAAGAACAGATGAAAGAAAGTAAAGAAAGATGTGAGGGGGGGCTGGAATGTGGTTGAACAGTCACGAATTGTTTATAGCCCCCCATTTTCCCATGGAGGGCAGGATGTGTGCCTCAGCATTAGAGGGCCTCTTTAGAATTTCTCAGTGCGGGACTGGGAGCTTGGCTGGACCAAAGATCATTTCTCTAGCATGTATTAGGGTCCTAGGTCCCAGCACTAGCCCTGCCTGATTCCCTAGACTTTGTGACACATGTCTGCCATCCCAGCACTTGAGAGGCTGAGGCAGGAGGATTTCAAATCCAGTCCAACCTGGTCTACACAGTAAGACCCTCCTTCCTCAAGAGACGTGGCTTTCCTAGGCTTTGCCTTCCTAAGGAAGGGTGTTGTGGGGAGCCAGAAGATCTGTGCCTTCATGGCTCTTTGGGAGATGGAGAAGTGGACATGGAGCTGGCGAGAGAGCGGAGGGATGACACTGTCCAGGCACCTTAAATTGCACGGGGGCTGCGGCGACAATGGATGGGACAGCAGTGTTCTTCACAGTGGCACCCTAGGCTGGTGGGGGGAGAGTGGGGAGCAGGGGACCAGCCCCTCACTGGGCCTTCTGTGTTTTGATAGAGAAGTGGGACGCCTTCATCAAGGAGATGGAGGACATCAACACCCTGCGGGAGTGCGTGCAGATCCTGTTTAACAGCAGATACGGTGAGTGGGCGGCGCAGCCCACCGGGTGAGCATCTCATTATGTGTGGCAGTCGCCTGTGTTCCCCAACACAACAGCCTGAGCCATATGCTGGCGCCCGCGCAGCATCAGTGCGGATGGCATCCGGCGTGGGCTCTCCCCTATCTGGGGAGAGGGTGGTTGTGTCAATATTTCCCTTGCAGATTCTTTGTGGGGGTGGGATGATGGCAGATCCCCAGACCTTCCGTCACCTATGGGAAGATGGGCAGGGGGACGTGTTGCTCTCTGTTGGCTGCTCCCACGGCCCCTTATTGTAGTCTACTACGTTTGTTGTGTGTGCATGCATATGTGTGTGTAGTTGCACATACGTGTGTGTGCGTGTTGAGGCCAGAGGACAACCTCAGGTATCATTTTTAGACATCATGCACCTTTGTTGCGTGCTGTTGCTGAGACTGTCTCAGGTAGCCCGGGGCTAGTGTTGAAATTGCTGTGAATGGAGAGTGACCTTGAACTTTTGATCCTCCTTCATGTACTTCCCGAGTGCTGGGATTCCAGGTATGCACCACCATGTCCATGATGCTGGAGATGGAACCCAGGGTCCCATATAAAGGTCTATCCCAGCTGGAAAGGTACACAGAGAGGCCCTGTCTTAGACTCCTATTGCTACAATGAAACACCATGACCCCAGAACCAGCCTGGAAACAAAAGGGTTTGTTTCGGGGTTCACACTCCATGACGAAAGGACAGGGTAGGAGCTCGAGGCAGGCACCTGGAGGCAGGAACCGAAGCAGTGGCCATGGAGGAACGCTGCTTATTGGTTTGCTCTCGTGACTTGCCCAGCTTTCTTAGAGCATCCAGAAGCATCAACCCAGGTGTGATACTGCCCACAGCGAAGTGGGCTGGTCCTACATCAATCATCAGTCAAGAAGCTGCACCACAGTCTTGCCCATAGGCCAGTTAGTAGGGACATTTTCTCAACTGAGGTTCCCTCTTCCCAAATGACTCCAGCTTGTGTCAGGTAGACATAGAACTAGCCAACATAGCTAACTTACTGGCCATCCCCACTTCTGTGTCCTGATCTCTTTTTTGGAAGACATCGTCTCTTACTGGCTTGGAACACACTAAGTAGGTTAGTGGGGCCGGCTAATGGACCTCAGGACCCATCTGTTTCTGTGTCTCCAATGTTGGAGTTTATAAGTACAAGCTACCACTCCTGGCTATTTTGCATTAGTTCTGGCCATCAGAATTGGATCTGTATGTTTGTAAGACAGGCACTTTACCAACTGAGCTAAGACTTTTTAATTACGTGCACTGGTGTGTCTGTCTGTCTGTCTGTCTGCCTCCCTCACATGTGCGTGCCGGTCAGAGGACAGCTCTCAGGATGTGATTGTCCAGCCATCATTTAGGTACCATGGATTGAACTCAGGTTATCAGGCTTGGTGTTAAGTGCCTGTACCTGGTGAGCTGTCATCACTAGCTTGTCTTTTGTGTGTGTGTTTTGTTGTTGTTTTGGGGTATGTGAGTGCCTTGTTTGTTTGTTTCGAGACAGGGTTTCTCTGTGTAGCCCTGGCTGTCCTCAAACTCAGAGATCCGCCTGCCTCTGCCTCCGCCTCCTGAGTGTGTGAGTGTTCTACATTTATTTTGTGTTTGTCTGTGTCTGCTGAACTGTGCCGTGACACACATATTTGTACTCAGAGGATAGACTTCAGCAGTTGATTCCCTCCTTCTGCTGTATGAGTTCCAGGGATTGAGTTCATATTTGGGCTTGGTTGTAATGCACCTTTACCCACCAAACCATACTCCTCCCCTCTTGGATTTTTTGGAGGCTCTTATTTCATAGCCTACACTAGGCTAAAATCACTACTTAGGCCAAGCTGCCTCAGCCCAGCAAATACTGTGATTGTACGCGTGACCAATTTACTTTCTTTCCTTTCCTTTTATTTCATTCTTTTGAGGGTGGGGGTGTTTCGAGACAGGGCTTCTATGTGTTGCCCTGGCTGTCCTGGAGCTCACTCTGTAGACCAGGCTGTCTTTAAACTCATAGAGATCCGCCCGCTTCTGCCTTGAAAGTGCTGGGATTAAAGGCATGGGGCACCACCATCACCCCGGGCCTTCTTTCTTATTTATGTGTTCATTTTGAGATGGGGTCTCATTTTACCTAGGCTGCCTTTGAACTCCAAGTAGCCCAGGATGACCTTGAACTTCTGATCCTCCTGCCTCTACTACTTGAGTGTTCCACGACAGGAACACGCCACCCTGCCCAGTTTATTCAATGCTGGGGGTGGAATTCGGGGCTGCAAGTGTGCCAGGCAAACACTCCCAGCTGAGTCACATCCCAGCACTTTTATCTGGTTTTTTTAGACATAGTCCAGGCTGGCTTTGCACTCATAGCAATCCTCCTACCTCCATCTCTGCAAGGCTCAGATTCCCAGGTATGCACCACCTTCTGGCTTTATTTGCCTGTTTTATGTCCTTTGCTTAACAGGTCTTTTTCACTCTGGAGAGGTAAACTCCATAGGAGATGATCCAAAAGCTGAGTTTTGTAAAATATTTAAGAACTTGTCCCCAGAACAGAGCACCTCACCATTAAAGCCTAAGACATAACGTGATAGGCATAAGGTCCTCTATCCTGGAGGACGACTTTCTGTCCAAGGACCACAGCAACCAATGCCTGAAGGGCACGTATATGCAGACGTGCAGCAGTGGGTGCTTACATGCTGGCATGCAGCAGTGGTGCTTACATGCTGACATGCAACAGTGGTGCTTACACGCTGACATGCAGCAGTGGTGCTTACATGCAATCATGCAGCAGTGGTGCTTACATGCAATCATGCAGCAGTAGGTACTTAAATATGCAGATACATGCAGCGATGAGTATTTACATGCAGACACAGCAGTGGTGCTTACATGCAGACATTCAGCAGTGGGTACTTAAATATGCAGATACATGCAGCAATGAGTATTTACATGCAGACACAGCAGTGGTGCTTACATGCAGACATTCAGCAGTGGGTACTTAAATATGCAGATACATGCAGCGATGAGTATTTACATGCAGACACAGCAGTGGTGCTTACATGCAGATATATGAGGGGGTCCCTGCAGACATCAGACAGGGAAGCAAACCAAATGAAGAGACGAGAATGAAAACCCAGTGCAGACTGACTTCATCCACCTGGATCAGACTTTGGGGGCTCTAATGCCAGGCAGTTCCTCGTCAGCAAATTTAAAACTCAGTACAATTGGGGGGAAATTTTCCAGGCAACAGTCAGTCCAGCTCCAGGTACACAATACATTTGAAGGTGTGATTACATGGAGATTCTTTTACAAAGTACACGCGACCGTGAGGGAGGGAGGGTTCAGTAGCTTAAAGACCCAGAATCTAGTGTGCTCTCTGAATACTTTCTGAGGAACTTGGGTAAGGTCTGCCTCCACAGATAGCTAAAAAGTCACCAACTTATTAACAAAATCCACTCCCTGCCTTCTGGACGGGAAAACAGTTATTTTATCTCCTCCATTGAGAAGTGGGCTCTATGTGTTTAACATTCCTGGTTTCCCTAGTGATCTGTGGCACAAGGACCTTTGTGCCCCCAACAGATGTATACAGTAGTGTGCACTTGTGTGCAAGATCATGCGGTTGTGGACCCTCGTGTGCAAGCGTGCACAGCTGTGAGAACTTGAATGTGGTTGCATGCAGCAGTTGGTGTTAGTGTCCAGGTGTCCACAGTGCTTGGCGAGGAAACAAAGATGGCTTAGAGGAGGCTGAGTCCTCGGGCTAGAGAGTCAGGTGGCTTCCTGAGATGATGCCCTTGCTGGGCGATCTGGGACTGGTAGCCCAGGCCCCCTGTGTAGGGTGTGGGGTGGCGTGTGCACAGGAGTCTCCCGACAATCAGGTGAACCCCCTGGGCTATAGGGAGTAGAAACTGGAGACGCTTTGGCTATGTGCAAGAGAATGGGACCTGGTTAAGCACTGGCATCTGCTTGACCATAGTGCCAGCCCCTGATGCTGTCTTTCTGGCTATGATATATGCTTGTGATGTGGCGAGAGAGAGATACAGAGAGAGAGATACAGAGAGAGAAAGGGGGGAGAGAGAGAGAGAGGTGGCAGTGTACACCTTTAATCCCAGCAGTCAGGAGGCAGAGGCTGAGGGATCTCTGTAAATTTGAGGCCAAACTGGTCTACAAAGAGAGTTCCAGGACAGCAAGGGCTGTTACGGAGAGAAACCCTGTCGTGGAAAAAAAATGCAGAGAGACCCTACTTGGTGGTCTCTTACACTTGTAATTCCAGACTTTTGAGACTGAGACAAAGGGATTTAAGGGTTGCAGGCCTGCCTGGGGTGTAAAGAGAGACCCTGTCAAAAACTAAAGGAGTTGAGAATGTGGCTCTGTTGGTAGAGTGCTTGCCTAGCATGTGTGAAGGGATTCCATCCCCAGCGACATATAAACCAGACATAGTGGTTTATGCCTATATCCCAGCACTTCGGAGATGAGGCAGGAGGATCGTGAATTCAAAGAGACCGCCCCATCTCAGGGGGGAAAACGTCCAACATTGCATGGTCCTGAGCTCACATGAACTCCAAACACTGAAGGCAGGGAGGGGGCTCCCCAGACAGCAGGCGGGGGTGAGGAAGCAATGATTTGACAGCTGCCGAGATTTCAAGGGATTATTTAATATGACAACGAGCTAATTGTGACTTCACAGTGTAGAGCTGGCTGCCAACGCTGTCACCAGACACCGGGTCCATCAACAAGAAAACAGTGAGCTGCTCTTGAAGTAGCCTGAACTATTCTGCCCAGCCCTGGTGTGGCCAGTGAGTGCCTGGAGGGCAACTCAGAGCTACAAGGACACCACCCTGAGCAGAACAGGGAAAGCCCAGAGCAAGGGCCAGCTTGGCCCAAGAAAATAAGCAATAGTTAGTGCTTGGCAGGCTAGTGCACCTGGCGCATAACCCAACCCTTGCGAGGCTGAGGCAGGAAGATTGCTGTGTATTTGATGCCAATCTGGGGACTGTAATAAGACCCTGTCTCAAGTAGATGCAGGGCAGCAGGAAGGTAAATGGTTCAGCTGGTTAAAAGGGGGGGAAAAGGCTCTTGCAACCAAGCCTTATGCACTGAGTTTCATCCCTGGCACCCACCCGAAGGAAGGAGAGAACTGACTTCTGCAAGTTGTCCTCTGACCTCCATACTCAGGCACTTAGGCAATGCCTCCCAATAAATAATTAGTATGCTTTTTTTTAATGTTAAAACAAAAAGGACCCTGGGTAGGGTGGTGGTGGTGCATTCTTTTAATCCCAGCACTCAGGAGGCAGAAGCAGGTGGATCTCTGTGAGTTTGAGGCCAGCCTGATCTACAAGAGCTAGTTCCAGGACTGGCTCCAAAGCCACAGAGAAACCCTGTCTCAAAAAACAAAACAAAACAAACAAAGACCCTGGTCAAGGCAGCCCTGCTCTTTAATGCCAGTATTTGGGAAGCAGAAGCAGGCAGGCCTTGGAATGTGAGGCCAGCCTGGTTTACCTAGTGAGTTCTGAGTCAGCCAGGACTAAATAGTGAGAATCTGTCTGAAAGGGTTAAAGAGAGAGAGAGAGGGAGAGAGGGAGGGAGGGAGGGAGGGAGGTGTGACACCATTGTTTCTGTTACAACACAGCCAAGGCAGCATTAGATGGGAGGGAACAGGATCCTGTGACTTGTCTCTCATACTCATCCTTGTTCTTGTCCTTCTAGCGGAAGCCCTGGGCCTGGACCACATGGTCCCTGTCCCCTATAGGAAGATTGCCTGTGACCCCGAGGCTGTGGAAATTGTGGGCATCCCGGACAAGATCCCCTTCAAGCGGCCCTGTACTTACGGGGTGCCCAAGCTGAAGCGGATTCTGGAGGAGCGGCACAGCATTCACTTCATCATCAAGAGGTGTGCACTGGCTGGGTTCTGGGAAAGAAGGCCTGCCTAGAACTGCCCACTGAGGGGCTGGGGCATGGCTCAGTGGGAGAGCATTTGCCTAGAATCCCCCAGTGAGGGGCTGGGGCGTGGCTCAGTGGTAGAGCCCCTGCCTAGAATCCCCCAGTGAGGGGCTGGGGTGTGGCTCAGTGGTAGAGCCTCTGCCTAGAATCCCCCAGTGAGGGGCTGGGGTGTGGATCAGTGGTAGAGCACCTGCCTAGAATCCCCCAGTGAGGGGCTAGGGTGGGGCTCAGTGGTAGAGCCCCTGCCTAATGTGTGAGACTCTGGATTTTTCTGCCCTCAGAGCCACACACAAAGACAAAAAGAAGAGCAGATGGTTCTAGAACTTAGAACTGTGCTTTGGGACCCTAGTCCATCAAGTGTGCCTACTAACCCAGACATGCTGTGAGGGCATCTGGCTTTTTTCCTCGGCCTCCCAAAAGTGAAGTGAAACCCCTTTAGCCTGGCCCGGCCTACCCCAACTATGTATTTCATAAATAATGGTCCCCTTGTTAATTCTTCAGCTGCTGGGTCAGTGGGCGGGACTGAGAAGGGAAGCTGGGCCCCCAGACAGGAAGCCAGTTCCCTCTGGCCTTGGTCTCTGCGGTTGCTTCAGGCCTTGTGTTTTCCAGATGTGTGTGAGCTCTCTGAGCTCCACGAACAGCAGGGAAGCAAGCCCCAGTCTCTCAGAAGAACAGGAAGTCACGCTTAGACTTCATGCCCTGAGCCTTAACCTCGACACCCAACTCAGTCTGCCCTTATTGGCTTTTTTGTTTTGTTTTGTTGAACTATTTTTTTTTTTCAGGCAAGGTCTCACTATGTGCCTTTGGCTGATCTGGAACTCACCCTATAGACCAGGCTGGCCTCAAACTCACAGAGATCAGCCTGTCTCTGCCTTCCGAGTACTGGGATTAAAAGTGTGCACCAGTATATCTGACTAGGTTTTTTGTTTGTTTGTTTCTTGTTTTTGTAAATTTTGCAAATTGTAAATTGGTGTTTTTAAAGACAGGGTCTCATGTACTGTGAGAACGTTAATTTAGACAGATTGTCCAAAATACTCAGTTTTGTGATAGTTCCCCACAGACACTCTTAACCATTGTCAGGCCCCGGTTACATGCCCAGCCTCCTGTTCTAGGCTCATTCTGGTGCTGTGATAACCATGTGACTGGCAGCAGCTCTGGGGAGAAGATGGGGTTGATTTCCCGTTCCAGGTCACAGTTCACCATTGAGGGAAGCCAGGGCAGGAACTTAGCAGAACCGTGGAGGGAAGGCAGCTCGTTGGCTCAGTCTCTGGCTTGCTAACCCTGCTCATGCTTCCTATTGGCTGAGTCCTCCTGTATCGATTTACACGATTCCTCAGAGACATGTCCACAGGCTGATCTGATGCGGGCAGTGCCTCAGGTGACGCTAGTTTGTGTCACCTGGGCAGTTGAGACCTAACCAGCCTCGACCTCCTGAACACCTTTCCCTTTGGCATATCTTTCCCTTGTCGGTCATTGTTGCTAGTCTTTTTGAGACAAGGTCGTAATATATAATATATAGCCCATGGCCTTGACCTAAAGATCCTCCTGCCTCAGCCTCCATTCTTGGCCTGGGCTTCAATTACTTTATCTGCGTGTCTTGGTCCTTGAACCATCCCTGGGCCCCAGCTTCTTCCCCTCTGATTGGTCCATCCGTGATCTGACCCTGCCGCAAACACAAGAGTCCCATGGGTTTTGTATGAGCCCGTCAATACAAGGACCTTGCTTTAGCCATCTACATAACACCCTAGTTTCTGCCCTTGCTTGGGGCCCCTGCTTTCTGAGAACACCCCTGAAGGAGTCCTCAGGTCGCCTTCCATGGCTATGGTCTGTTGTTTGCTCCAAGTTGCTTTTTGCCGAGCCTGGCACTTTAGGAGACGCAGGTATAACAGGCCTTAATGAGCGGGTCTTTGGGTGGTGGTGTGGTTTAGGGGGTCAAGTGCCTGCCCGGCATTCATGAAGCCCTGGCTTCCATACCAAGGGCTCCAAAAACCAGACATGGTGTTGACAGGCCTGTAATTCTAACACAGTAAGAGGCAAAAGGATCAGGAAGGAACTCAAGGTCATCCTTGGCTACATAGGGAGTTTGAAGTCAGCCTGGGCTACGGGAGAGCCTGTCTTCAAAGCAAAACAGAACAACAAAACCCATACAGTCTTTCGGGCCAGAGTGACAGTGGGACAGGAGTCTTGAGTTGTCCAGGTTCCCTCTGTATTCGTTGCTTTTCCTTGTTGCTCTAACTAAACACCCAACGAAAGCAACTTAAGGGAGGAAAGCGGTTACTTGGGCTCACAGTGTGAGGGTGCACAGTCCATCCGGGTGGGAAGGTGGGCAGAAGCATGAGGTGGTCACAGTGCGTCCTCGGTCAGGAAGCGAAAGATGAACACTGACTCTCCCCCCCCCCCCCCAGCTGTCTTTCTTTTGATTCACTACAGGTCCCCAGCCTATGGGATGGAGCCACCCATATTTGGGGCTTTAGGGCTTCTCTTCAATGAACCCAATCTAAAAAATCCCTCACAGACATGCCCCGAGATTTGTTTCTGTGGTGACTCTAAGTCTCATCAGGTTGGTGAGATTAACCATCACTCCTCAACGCTTGCCCACATGTGTGGCCAGCCCTATCTGTGGCTCTCAGAACCACCCTGGCAAGATGGGTGGCCATCTCTGGAAGGGACCAGCCTGCGCCGACCTCATCCTCTCTTTTCTCTTTCCAGGATGTTTGATGAGCGCATTTTCACAGGTAAGCAAATGGGTGCCGTTGGGTGGTCTGTTCTGGAGCTGCTGTCTCCTTGAATTGTCCCTGTCATCTTGAATCCTCTTCTATATCTTGGGATTGTATGTGGTCTCTGGGCTCCCAGTGACTGACAGACTGGAACCCTGTACAATTTAGAGTCTCCTTGGAGGAAATAGTAATACCATTTGCTAAACATATAGCTAGGTTCCCTTCGGAACGACCTTGGTTTTTATTTGGATTGGTGTGTGTGTGTGCATGTGTGCACGTGCGTGTGCATGTGTGTGTGTGTGTGTGTGTGCGTGTGTGCACGTGAGTGTGCATGTGTGTGTCCGTGTGGAGACCAGAAGTCAGCTTGGTCCTTGAGCCATCCGCAGTCTTCCGTAGTCACTCTCTGGCTCACTCCTTTTGGAGACAGCTTGCTCACTGATGTCATCGCCTCCCTTATCTGGGTCGTGGGCACACGGCCCTGCGCCTGGCTTTTTCTATGGGTGTTGGGTCTTCAAGTCCAGGTTTTCATGCCTGCATGGCAGTCTCTTCACCTATAGATCAGTCTTCCCAGCTCCCGAGCTACCTTGTTTTATTCTTTTTATCTTCTTTTATTTAATCCCCCCCATTATTTAATCCCTTTTTTAGTGTCTCACTACACAGCCCAGCCTGGCCTCAAATTCTCTGTAACCCAGGCTAGCCTTAAATTCAGGATCTTTCTGCCTCTGTCTCTTGAGTCCTGAGATTGCAGGCATATGCTGCCATTCTGCAGACATGGGTATGATCCCACTCCCATATATACACAGAGCAATTAAACACTAGAGAAGTGGGGCTGTGGCATTTCCCTTAGATGCTGTGACCCCCAAACCCCAGCCACCGAATGCTACACAGATCCGCGGGGCATGATGGACCTGAGACCCATTAACAGCTTTGTAACCTCGAGCATTGTCCGTGAGCCTCAGTTTCCCCATCTGTGACATGGAGATGATAAGAAGAGTTAGCTGGCCAGGCGGTGGTAGCAAGGCCTTTAATCCTAGCACCTGAGGCAGAGGCAGATGGATCTCTGTGAGTTTAAGACCAGCCTGGTCTACATAGAGTTGCAGGACAGCCAGAGCCGTACAGAGAAACCCTATCTCTGTATGAAAGAAAGAGGGGGGGGTGGGGTGGGGAAGAGGAGCTAGCTGCCTTCTGATTTCTGGTTCTATTAAAGGAGAAAATGATCCCATAGGACAAATGGGTAGGAGTGGAGGCTGTGGCCTTTCTCCTGAGGTACTTACATTATCATGTCCTATCGGAGTGTGGGGAGAACTTTCCAGAATGAAGGCAGGATGTAGACAGATGCCTTCCTGACTGTTTCAGACACGGTCTCCAAAGAAGAGATCAGAGGCAGCCTGCCTCTTCCCAAGAGTGTCTCTTGGGATGTCCTATAGAAGCCACTGCCCGAGTGTCTCCCACCCACAGAAAAGACCCTAACTTTGGGGGTTCTCAAGATAGGGCCGTAGTCCAAGCAGACTTCAAACTCACAGCAGTCCCCCAACCTCAGGCTTCTGAGTATTGAGGTTGCAGGTGTACATCTGGCTGAGGAGCTGCCATCTTAAGCTCAACTCTTCCCGCAGGGAACAAGTTTACCAAAGACCCCGTGAAGCTGGAGCCAGCCAGCCCACCAGAAGACACTTCTACAGAGGTCTGTAGGGACACTATGCTGGACCTGGCTGGGACTGCTTGGTAAGGTCCCTCCTCTGCTCTGGGTTAGGCCTGTGTTCTGCGCAGGTTAGGAAGGGGTGAGGCCTGACTGGTTCCCATCCCCCAACTTGGACACATGGTTTCCACACCAGGGATTTTCTAGTCCCGTGAGAGGCAAAGTGGAACAAGAGAACAAGGAGGATTAGTTATTTCAGGTGTCAGTTATCTCAGGGACCTTCCTTGGTTACCCACACTGTTTATCTGCATGTTCAGCTGACATCCGAGTCACTGTCCCTCACTCCAAAATCAGGTTGTAGATCCGAGGGGAACAAGAACTGGTCATTCGGGCTACAGGTGTCCTTCAGCAGTAGAGCGCTACCTAGGATTCCCCAGTGAGGGGCTGGAGTGTGGCTCAGTGGTAGAGCCCCTGCCTAGAATCCCCCAGTGAGGGGGTGTAGACTTGGCTCTGTGACAGAGCACCCTCCTACTGTGCACAAAACTCTGGATTCAATCTCCATGCTTGCTTTTAAAAAGAAAAAGAGATGACATCAGTCATTTATTTTAGAATTCCCATGTTCCAGATCTTGCTCACAGATATCCTACAGTCCCCAGTGTACCCTCCCCCCCCCCCCCCCCCCCCGTCCCCAACACCATTCAGTTACTCTGCTGAACCTGGAGACTTCTAAACTGGCCAGCTCGGGCCATGAGCTGTGGAACACGTGCTGGCCAGAAAGATGGAGACGAGAGTGAGAACATGACCCTGGGAAGCTGGGACCTGATACTAACGTAGGGCAGTTAGCCCCATTCTGTGGGAGAATGGGGTCCAGGATGCATGGTGTTTTTATTTTCTTGTTAATATTTTATTTTATTGAGACAAATCCTCACTGTGTGTATCTCTGGCCATCCTGGAACTCACTGTATTACCAGGCTCTGGGTCATAAAGATACAGATTCCTCTGCCTCCCTACACTGGGACTAAAGGCCTGCTCCATCACAGGTCTTGAGTTTATTTTTTTTGTGTGTGTTTTGTTTTTTCGAGACTGAGTTTCTCTGTGTAGCCTTGGCTGTCCTGGTACTCACTTTGTAGACCAGTCTCCCTCAACCTCACAGAGATCCGCCTGCCTCTGCCTCCCAAGTGCTGGTGTTAAAAGGCGTGTGCCTGGTTTAAGATTATTTTTATTTTATGAGTATATATGTGTGCCTGAATTTATCTATATGCACCGTGTGTGTGCAGATGCCTATGGGTACCCAAAGAGGGCACTGGGTACACGAGAGCGAGAGTTAGAGATGATCGTGAGCCCCCCATGTGGATACCGGGAACTGTACTTGGGTTCCTCTGCAAGAACAGCAAGCCATCTTAAGTACCGAGCCAGCTCTCCAGCCCCTTAGTTTGGTTTTCTCAAGCTTTATAATAGAGTCTTGAGCTCCCAACAATCCTGTGTGTTTCTCTCAAGTACTGAGGTCACAGATGAGCTCTGTAACACTCACGTTTCGGGGGTGGGGTGGGTATTTCTGAATGGTGGGCAGAGCCGCGCTGGGCAGAGGGCTCAGGACAAGGTCGCCACTGGGTCATTTCTCCATCTTTCTTTCTCAGGTCAGACAAGAGCAGTGTCTCTGAAGACTGTGGGCCAGGTGAGCAGCAGCGTCTCCCTTGTGTATGATAGTTGTGGCTGTAGAACTGGGAGGGTGGCTGCCAGGCTCCGGCTGACAGCCAGGAGGAGACCTGCCTGGGCTGTGAACCCTCAGTACTTGGGATTGTCCTCTTCCCATGGCCATCCCCAAAGCCTCACAAGGCAAGCAGCAGAGCATGCTGGGAACTCTCTGGGGAGCGGAGGGGAGTAGAAGCTGACTCCTGGCATCATCACTGTCTCTTTGTACCTGTGGACAAGTAACTCCGTTTTCAACCCCATGGACCTGTAAGCTCTTTAAATTAGAGGTACCAGGTTTGACCTGAGTTTGTCCAAGGACCTGTCTGGTCCTTCCTGATCCGGGCAGGAAAGAGCTAAGGGTCCAAAATGACTTTCCCTATTTCACTGCCAATTCACAGCCATGGAATGTTCTGGAGAGACTTGCCTTTGTATGGGCGTGCCCATGCCCCTGCCTGATGGGATCCCTCTTGTTCGTTCTCTTCTCAGGAACCTCAGGAGAGCTAGGAATTTTGAGGCCCATCAAAATTGAGCCTGAGGAGCTGGACATCATTCAGGTTACTGTTCCAGGTAAAAGACATACATCAAAGGACTGTCGGTGCTCCTGTTCCTGTGCGGACATGTTGGCAGAGGCTGTGCCGCTCTGCTCCCAGGGCCTACTCCATTAGGACATTGCATCTGGGTTGATCCACCCAGTGTTTGAGATATAGCCTGGAGTCTTTCATGTCTACCACTGAGCACACCCCAGCTCCTCACTGGGGATTCTAGGCAGGGGCTCTACCACTGAGCCACACCCCAGCTCCTCACTGGGGGATTCTAGGCAGGGGCTCTACCACTGAGCCACACCCCAGCCCCTCACTGGGGGATTCTAGGCAGGGGCTCTACTACTGAGCCACACCCCAGCCCTTCACTGGGGGATTCTAGGCAGGGGCTCTACCACTGAGCCACACCCCAGACCCTCACTGGGGGATTCTAGGCAGGGGCTCTACTACTGAGCCATAGCCCCTTTATTACTTTTTTTTTTTTTTTTTTTTTTTTTTTTTTGGTTTTTCGAGACAGGGTTTCTCTGTGGCTTTGGAGCCTGTCCTGGAACTAGCTCTTGTAGACCAGGCTGGTCTCGAACTCACAGAGATCTGCATGCCTCTGCCTCCCGAGTGCTGGGATTAAAGGCGTGCGCCACCATCGCCCAGCTCCCTTTATTACTTTTTATTTTGAAACAAGATCTCACTCAGTAGCCCAGGGAGGCCTTAAGCTCTCAGCCCCGATGCTTTGCCTTCCTGAGATCTGAAGTCATCAGGTCACAAGCGGTACCACATCAGGCTGCATGGGTTTCCTTAGCATCTTGCTCTGTAGACCTTGGGGCCTCCGAGGGGCTGTGATGGTCAGGACAAGTAAAAGATGCTATCTCCTTTAGACCCTTCACCAACTTCTGAGGAGATGGCCGACTCACTACCTGGGCATCTGCCCTCGGAGGATTCCGGTTATGGGATGGAAATACCGGCTGGTAAGAGGTGGGCTGGGGCTGGCCATGCTGGGGACGTACCACCCTGGGGAGCTACGGGAAGGGACGGGTGGATTGGGGAGCCCCCTAAGTTTTTCTTGGAATCGGGTGCCTTTGGTAGAGAAGGCTCAGCACACCAGGAGTATGCTGTATGTGGGACCATCGTGTCTGCAACTTGGGGTGTGTTTTGAATTTTGAAATAGCTGCACTTGAAAAGATGCCTTTAGGGGTGGGACCTCAGTCTGCGTGTCAGTTCATTTGTTGGGGTTGAAACCTAGAAGCAGAAGCTAGCTTAGCGCATTTGAGGGCTTGGGTTCCATGCCTAGCCCTGCAGGGGTGAAAAATTGTAAAGATAAAAGTAATTCCCCCCAAAAAGCCAGATGTGGTGGGGTGTTAGCACTGGGGGGAGTAGAGGCAGGAAGATCAGAAGTTCAAGATCATCCTTGGCTGTATAGGAAGTTCTAGGCCGCCCTAGGCTACATGAGACCAAAAATGGGGGCTAGGGACAGCTGGGCAGGTAAAGGCACTTGCTGTGTAGGTCTGATGACCTGCGTTGGATCCCTGGGACTCACAGGATGTAATGAGAGAATAGACACCTTCTAGTTGTTCTGTGACCTCCATGTGTCTGCTATGGCATGCACGTGCCCTCCTCACACACACACAGCCACGTACATACATACATACATACATACATACATACATACATACACACACTAGCTAGACAGTGGTGGTGCACACCTTTAATTCCACCACTTAGGAGATAGAGGCAGGTAGATGTCTGTGAGGTTGAGGCCAACTTGGTCTGCAAAGTGAGTCCCAGGGCAGCCATACCTGTTACACAGAGAAGCCCTGTCTTCAAAAAATAAGTAAATAATAAATAAATACTTTGCTTTTTCAGAGCACATATGAGGGCATTAGCTCTTCTGGAGCTGGAGTTAGAGATAATTGTAAGCTACCTGATATGGGTGCTGGGAACTGAACTCAGGTCCTCTATCAGAATAGTAATTGCTCTTAACCACTGAGCCGTCTCCCCAGCCCCAGGAAAGTCCTTTCTGTTTTTCTTGTGTCTTATACAGATAACCTAAAGGTGTGCTCTGTTTCAAGCCTAAGACCTCACACATCCCAGGAAAGCACTCTCGAACTGAGCTGCGCCCCCAGCCCTACGTGTACGTGTATTTCTTCCTTTTTATATTCTGAGATCTAAGCTCTGCAGTCAATCCTGAACTGGCTGTGTAGCCCAGGCTTGCCTCAAACTCCCAAGCCTCATTCTCCCACGTTGCTGGGATGACAGGTGTTCTTGTTTCATTTCTTTTTTTTTTAATATCTATCTATCTGTCTATCTATCTATCTATCTATCTATCTATTTATTATGTATACAATATTCTGTCTGTGTGTATGCCTGCAGGCCAGAAGAGGGCACCAGACCTCATTACAGATGGTTGTGAGCCACCATGTGGTTGCTGGGAATTGAACTCAGGACCTTTGGAAGAACAGGCAATGCCCTTAAACTCTGAGCCATCTCTCCAGCCCTCTTGTTTCATTTCTTTTGTGTGATCACGGATAGTGACAAAAGCCAACATAAGGATTTACATGACTCCCAGTTCCCAGCTACAATCTACGGTCCAAAACTGGGGGGACGTCAAGATGGTGGAACTTGAAGCCACATTGGTTACATCCACGGTCAAGAACCGAGAGAACAGATGCATCCACACTCCCTACTTGTTCTGCTTTCTCTGTTTTACAATTCAGGACCCAGGCCCAGGAGTGGGACCACTCTCTTTTAGTCCGTCTTCCTATACCATTAATTAAATACAGTCCTCCAAAGAGATGCCCACGGGCCAGTCTGATTTAGACAACCCTTTATTGAGACAGTTTTCCCAGGAGGTTCAAAATACCAAAAAATGGAGGCTGGAGAGATGGCTCGGGGCTAACAGCACTTTTTCAACAATTAAATTTAACCCTCCCCCGCTGATGTGTATCTCCATAGATTTTGAGACAGCTTCTTGCTACATGACCCAGGCTATAATCCACAGTCCTCCTGTCTCAGCCTCCCTGTGCTGGAATTATACCATAGTGCACAGCCTTTTTAACGTGTGTGTGTGTGTGTGTGTGTGTGTGCGTGCGTGCGTGCGCGCGCGCGCGCGCGCGCTCATTGTCTTTGCTTTATGGACATTATGTAAATGTATTTTTTTGGTGCTGGGAATGGAACCCAGGGCCCAGTGTATGCCAGGAAAGTGTGATATGCTGAGCTGTGCCCCAGGCCTTGGTGTCTCTCAGACTGGCCTCAAACTCCCAAGCCTCCACCCTCAGACTCTGCATTGCTAAGATCACAGGTGCGAGCCTCCCTACACTGGTTTGTTGATCTCTGATTTCATACTTTCCTAATCTTCCACGTCCTCCTCAGTGTCTAGAATAGAATGGTTGGGGCCGGTCCCTGGACGGGGTCCATATATCATGATTGACACTTTGTGTTTGAATGGCATGGTTTGTCCCAATCCCATCTGGGGTTGTTCTACTCTGCCTCAGAGTTGAGGTTGTCTATCCTGGTTCTCCTTCCTCTAGTTGAGCTCTCTGGGCAGTATGTGTTTGAATGGCATGGATTGTCCTGATCTCATCTGGGGGTGTTGTACTCTGTCTCAGAGTTGAGACTGCCTAACCTGGTTTTCATTCCTCTAGTTGATGCCATACCTATAATACCTTACTGTAGCCGGGCGGTGGTGGCGCACGCCTTTAATCCCAGCACTCGGGAGGCAGAGGCAGGCGGATCTCTGGGAGTTAGAGGCCAGCCTGGTCTACAAGAGCTAGTTCCAGGACAGTCACCAAAGCTACAGAGAAACCCTGTCTCAAAAAAAAAAAAAAATACCTTCCTGTTCTTCTACATCCTCCTCGGTGTCTAGAATAGAATGGCTGGGGCTGGTCCCTGGACGGGGTCCATATATCATGATTGTCACTTTGTGTTTGAATGGCATGGTTTGTCCCAATCCCATCTGGGGGTGTTCTACTCTGCCTCAGAGTTGAGGTTGTCTATCCTGGTTCTCCTTCCTCTAGTTGAGCTCTCTGGGCAGTATGGGGTCCAGGAGATGATGAACATGCCTTGTGTTGTTGTTCGTTGTTTGGTTGGTTGGTTTGATTTTGGTTTTTTGAGGCTGGGTTTCTCTGTCTAACAGCTCTGGCTGTCCTTGAACTCGCTCTGTGGACCAGGCTGGTCTCAAACTCACTGAGATCCTCCTGTCTCTGCCTCCGGAGTGCTAGGATTAAAGGTGTGCACCACCACCGCCCAGCACAAATGTGGTTTCTTAACATCCTCTCTTTTCTCCTAGACAAAGGTCCCAGTGAGGAGCCATGGCCAGAAGAGAGGCCGGCAGAAGGTGAGACCCTGTCTGTCTTCCATAATTCCTTCTCCATGTCCACTCAATCCCTATGAGCAATTTCTCCTCCACTCCATCCTCTCCCTCCAACACCCTGCATTTGGACTGGGAGTCCTGTGTGAGCTATACCAGTTCTAGACTATGCCAGAATTGGCAGGCGTCTGTCAGGATAAAGTTGAAGCTTTGGTTTACACACACAGCCAGTTGCTTTCCATGAATGATTCTCAGCTTAATTGTTCCCCTCATTTTCCTGGGCTAGATTTTAGACTTGACTATATAAAGCTGGCTTTCTGTATAGAAGATTTTGTGAGAAAAACTGGTTTTTCTCTCTCTGCTAAGAGCAAGGTAGGGTGGGTGGATAGAAAGGCAAAGGTAAGAGTATAATCTTATCAATAGTGTGTCTGCCCCTATATTAAAAAAGCCCCACAGCAAAGGAGATGAATGCCACTTGGTAGAACCCACCTTGATGTCAACAGGATGCCTGTTAGGAAATATTTACTGCGTCCCCTGGTGGTAGTGTGTGCAAATTACAGGCATACTTTGCAGGATCCCAGTAAACTATTAGGAAATGTTTACTGCGCCCCCTGGTGGTAGTGTATGCAAATCAAGGCTTACTTTGCACCCACTAACTAGTTAGGTCTCTCATTGAGCTGATCTAAAAGTGATGCTTCCCGAGAACAACCACAGAACCTTCTAGATCTCCACTGTGGCACATTTCACAATCGTGTATGCAAAATCCAGGAATTAAGGGCTTGGGTAGAGCTGCCATTTCCTTCTCCTTTCCAAAGTTTCACCACGAGGTAATTCCTAATACCTACCTCCAGAGCTGGGAGTGTGAGTTAAGGAACAGGAAGTTTCTGCACCCAGGAAACTCAGCACACTGCCTTTGCCTTCCAGAAAGTCCTGGTGATGTGATCCGGCCCTTGCGGAAGCAGGTGGAGATGCTGTTCAACACTAAATATGGTGAGTAGGAAAAGGGACAGGCCTTTAGGACAAAGAGTTGGGACCCATCTTCAGGATGGGAACACTTGAGTCCATATAGCTCACCCATGGCAACAGCCTCCAGCAGAGAATCCCATCCCATTGGCCTGCTGGTCCACAGACCTTTCCTCGAGATCATTCCCTGGCTCATGTGCTTTCAGTGTGGCTCGGTAATAAAGTGCTTGTTTGGCACTTATGATTCCCTGGGTTCCATCTACAGCTCTACAAAAAAACAACAAAGTCCAGGCGAGAGCAAGATTGAAGAGGCCTCTTCTCTCTAGCTCCTTGAGTTTGCCAGGGGCTGGCTTTTCTCACACACTCTCGCCTCCCTTCCTCACAGTCCTCGTACCCTAAGACCCATTTTACAAATCAGGAAATATGAAACCTGCTGCGGTGATGAGGCTAGCTAGCTCAGGGGAAGAGAGCTTCAGATAAGGCTAGTCCTAGATCTGGCATGCCGTGGGGCTGTGTGAGGATTTGGGGTTTTTGCAGGTGGGGAGGGGAATGAGGGACTCACAGTCCTAGCCCAGCAATACTCTGTGGTTTCTGTACTATGCAGGCATGAGTGAAGAGTGATCTTGCGGTTCAGGTTCCCAGGCTGTATGCCTGCGGACAAGTCCCCTCCCCTGGGGACTTGCCTCCTACCTACAGGCTAGGTGTGCTTTTCTCCCCTCTGGCAAGTTTATGGGGTTCAGCTGAATGCCGCCTCCTCCAATTCCCACAGATGGGTGGGGACAGGAGTTGAGGCTCCAGGTGGCCTTACAGCAGCCATGTCTTTGCAGCCAAAGCCATCGGTACCTCGGAGCCAGTGAAGGTACCCTACTCCAAGTTCCTGATGCACCCCAAGGAGCTGTTTGTACTGGGTCTTCCTGAAGGCATCTCTCTTCGCAGACCCAACTGCTTTGGAATTGCCAAGCTTCGGAAGATTCTGGAAGCCAGCAACAGCATTCAGTTTGTCATCAAGAGGTAAGGTCTGATCCTGGTGTGGTGGCAGGTTGCAGGCTAGCCAAGGCTGCACAGTGAGATGCCGTCTCAAGAAAGAAAAGAGTGGGGGGCTGGAGAGATGGCTCAGAGGTTAAGAGCATTGCCTCCTCTTCCAAAGGTCCTGAGTTCAATTCCCAGCAACCACATGGTGGCTCACATCCATCTGTAATGGAGTCTGGTGCCCTCTTCTGGCCTGCAGACATACACACAGACAGAATATTATATACATAATAAATAAATCAAATATTTAAAAAAAAAAGAAAGAAAGAAAAGAGTGTAGGTTTGTGGGTGGGTGCAGAGAGATGAAATTAAGTTAAAAAGAAATAGGAAAAGGGGGGGGGCTGGCTAGACCCATGAAGGACACCATCAGAACTGCCCACCACTAAACTGGCACCTTCCTGTTGTTCAGATTCCAAAATCTTTTGTTTTCATTTTCTTTCTTTTTTTTTTTTTTTGGTTTGTTTTGTTTTTGTTTGTTTTTGTTTTGCTTTTTGAGATGGGTTTCTCTGTATAACAGTCCTACCTCTCCTGGAACTTTCTCTGTAGACCAGTCTGGCCTCAAACTCATAGAAATCTTCCTGCTTCTGCCTCCTGAGCTCTGGGATTAAGGAAAGGCGTGTGCCATCACTGCCCAACTATCCTTTACTTTATATACTTTGTTTTTTATTTTTAAGTGTATTTGGGTTTTGATTTTGTTGTTGTTGTTTTGGGGGTTTGTTTTATTTCATTTTTAAGATGGGATCTTACTTCCTAGTTGAGGCTACTCTAGAACTCATTGGATAGCCCAGGCTGGCCCAGTTGGTCTTCCTGCCTCAGTCTCCCAAGTGCTCTGGAATTACCACCATGCCCTACCGATTCTAGACTAAATTAGAGCTGGGTGTGATGGTTCGTAACTATAGAACAGCTCTTGGGAGGCCAAGGCAGGATGATATAGACCAGTGGTTCTTCACCGTCCTAACTCTGCGACCCTTTAGTACAGTTCCTCATGTTGTGGTGACTCCCAACCACAAAATTATTTTCTTTGATACTTCATAACTGTGGTGTGTGCTACTGTTAGAAACGGTTGTAATGCAAATATCTGTGTTTTCCAGTCGTCTTGGGTGACCCCCTGTGAAAGGGTCGTTTCACTCACACACCACACACACACACACTCAAGGGGTCTTGACCCACAGGTTGAGAACCACTGATGTAGAGTTTAGACTGTGTCACAGTACTTCATCTTAACAAAAACAAAACAAGAGAAACACTTTAGAGGAGGCTCAGTCAGTAACGTGCGTACTGTGCAAGCCTGAGGACGTGAGTTCAATCCCCAGGACCCAACTAGTACAAAAAAAAAAAAGAAGAAGAAGAAGAAGAAGATGATGATGAACTAGACAAGGTGTTGCAAACCTGTAACCCCCACTGCTGAGTAAGCAGAGATAGGAGGATCCCTGGGTTGCTGCTTAGCCAATGTGACCACATATGTAGGTTACAGGCTCAGGGAGAGACCCTGTCTTAAAATATAAGGTGGAGTGATGGAGATGGCTCAGTGGTTAAGAATGCTAGCAATGCTCTTGAAGAGACCTGAGTTTGGTTCCTGGTGTCCTGGTTGGGCAACTCATAGCCATCTGTAACCCAGGCTTCAGTGGCTTTACACACACACATACAATTAAAAAATAAAACCTTACCCAAAAAAATGTGGAGAGCAATTAAGGAAGATACCGGTTGTTCACCTCTGGGCCTCTCCATTGCATCTGCACACATGTGTGTGTGCAAACATCATTTCCCTGGCAGTCACTCACCCACACATAGAGGCTGTGCGTTTCAATGCTAGGCAGTAGGGATTGGGTGATGTTCACAGCAGAGGGCATTTGCCAGTCCCGGACTTGGGAAGAACCTCAGAGCTCAGAGCTCTCGACAGCTCCTGTCAACCAGGATGGCTACCCCGGTGTGGCAAGGACCTTAATGCTATGTTGACCAAGGAAGCCCATTGCACAGATCTGTGCACGGAAGCTCGGGCTGAACAGCCCTAGGCTGTTTGGACAAACCTCATTGATGGCACCGGTTATGTTTTTTAGACCCGAACTGCTCACTGATGGTGTCAAAGAGCCTGTAACCGAGACTCAAGGTACCTGGGCGTGGGTGAGACACAGGTGGGCGCGGGAGGGCACCGAGTCTCTGCCATACCCCGTCCTGATGCCCCTGTCCTATCCCCCACCTTAGGCGTTTCCCCACTGCCCCTGTCGGGTTTGCCCCCTCGATGCCACCCGAGACCCCAGGTGCTCCCTCCTCACCTGCCTTCTCTCCCCACCCCACCCCCAGAGAGGGACTCCTGGGACCGTCTTGTGGACGAGACCCCGAAGAGACAGGGCCTTCAAGGTAAGTTTAGGCCCGTGCTAATTTAGGCATTCCAGGGTCGTGACTTTGGGAGGATTTAGCTTGGGGGTGACAGTGGATGTGGGAAGAGGTTGGACCCCACCCGTGGTCTCTTGGGTACTCGACTAGCCTGGTGTGTCTGAGTTAGAGTGTGGCTGTCAGGAGGGGGACACCCAGACACAGGACTCCGGAGATGGCTTCTCTATCCGGGTAGTAGCCATCTGCCCTTCTGTTGTTATTCATCAACTCAGCTCTTTTGAAACTAAAGGAGTGGACGGTAGCAAAGGAGAGCCAGAGAGGCAGGCAGGAAGGCAAGCAGTGGGATATAGGAAACTGTTAAAGGGGGGCTTGCAACTGGCCCAGCGGGAGGCTCCTGGCACCCTTTACTGTGAAGCCAACCATCATCCCTGCTATCAATAGGGATACAGCTGAGAACTTAACACATCCTACGCGTGCGCAATTTAGAGGATTCATGGGCATGGCTGGTGTGAGTCCCGGGGTGACGTCACCAGGTGACCCCTCACGGCCACCATACTTTGAGGAGTTTAGAAAGGCAGTGGCCAACGCTGGAGTTAGGACCGGCCGCTGGTCACCTCGGTGCCTCGCTCTTCCTAGGCAGCTGGAACGGCAAGGGGAGCTTATGTATCTTACCTCACCTATGTTGCCAGGACTGTACCAGAGGTCATTTCCTCCTTCCCCTGCCATCCATACCCTTCCTCTCTTAAGGCCAGGCCAGGATGTAGCCTCCCTGAGGTCAAAGGTGCAGTCATGATATGCTAGTACATCGGGGTCCTTAATCAACACTACCTAAAGAATGGTGGTCCTTGTCCTGAGGCCTTCCCACCCTATAAGGGGCTGGGGTGTGTCTCAGTGGTAGAGCCTCTGTCTAGAATTCCCCAGTGAGGGGCTGGGGTGTGGCTCAGTGGTAGAGCCCCTGCCTAGAATCCCCCAGTGAGGGGCTGGGGTGTGTCTCAGTGGTAGAGCTCCTGCCTAGAATCCCCCAGTGAGGGTCTGGGGTGTGGCTCAGTGGTAGAACTCCTGCCTAGAATCCCCCAGTGAGGGGCTGGGGTGTGGCTCAGTGGTAGAGCCCCTGCCTAACATCCCCCAGTGAGGGGCTGGGATGTGGCTCAGTGGTAGAGCACCTGCCTAGAATCCTCCAGTGAGGGGCTGATAGCATGTCTCAGTGGGAGAGCATTTCTGTATTTTCTGTAAGGCACTGGGCTCCGTCTTCTGTGCCGCCAAATAGTAAACAGCCCTGGGTGGATACTCCCATTCTAGTCCTCTGCCTCCCTGTGAGCTTTTTGAAGCCCTCTCTCCAGCTCCCACCCAGCTGAGGACACAGACTTCAAGGCTTATTTATTAGTTTGTTGGTTTTTCAAATGTCAACAATTAACTTAATTTCATCTCATTGCTGTTGGCGCAACAGTGTGAGTCCTTCCAGGAAAAAACAAAACAAAACGCACACAGCCTCTTGGAGACGGGTTCTGAAGGACTCTGAGGAGCCCACTCCAAAGACCTGCTAATTGCCAGAGAAGGAGTTCGCTGTAATTAGGAAATCGTGTTCCTGTAAAAGTCACCAAGTGCCTTTTAATGTAACAACCTCTGTCCGTAATTGTACTCACTTTGCAGAAAATTACGACACCAGACTCTCGCGGATCGACATCGCCAACACGCTTAGGGAACAAGTCCAAGACCTGTTTAACAAGAAATATGGTAAGTTACAGGCAGGGGTCAGGTAGAAGGAGAAGTGGGCAGCTTCCTGCCTGTGGCCAACTTCACATGTGGCAAAGAGGTTGGTCTATGACTTGGATATTTCTTCTCCTTTTTGTTAAAAAAATCGATTGATTGGTCTACAAGAGCTAGTTCTAGGACAGGTTCCAAAGCTACAGAGAAACCCTGTCTCAAAAAACAAAAAAAAAAAAGATTGATTGATGATTGAGTGAGTGTACGGGTATGTGGGTGTGCACGTACCCCAGGACAAACGCGGTAATCAGACTCACGGGAATCGGTTGTTTCATTCGATCATATGGGGCCGTGGGCATCAACTCAGTCTTCCAGGTCTGGGGCAGCCACCCGTGCACACTGAGTTGTCTGACCAGCCCTCATCCATTTCTCAAGCATCCGCTCCTTGCTGGGGACATGGCGTCACAGAAACCAGACACGTTGTAGAAGGTGTGGGTGGCGTACACCTGCAATCTCGTCACTTGGGAAGTGGAAGCAGGAGGATTGCTGTGTGTTTCACGTCGGCAGGAACTACAGGGTACGGGGTTTTGTTGAGAGACAGAGAGAGTGGGGTGCCAGTGCTCACTAGTGAGCTGGCTTCCAGGGCAAAGGTGTTGGCTGCCAGACTGACACCGGAGCTTGGTTCCTGGAACCCACATAGTGAAGGGAGAGAACCAGTAACTGCAAGCTGCCCTCTTGCCTCCACCGTGTGTGCCATGGGATGTGCACACGGGTGCTCACGCATACGTACACGCATAAGTAAATAAAATGTATTTGAATTATTTTAATAGAGACTGGGGTGTGGCTCGGTTTGTAGGCTACTTACTGAGTGTGTGTGAAGCCCTCGGTTCAATCCATAGCATCACATGATCTGGCGTGATGGAAAACACTCAGGAGGTAGAGGCCGGAGGATCAGAAGTTCAAGGTCATCCCCAGCTACATTGCCTGTTAAAGTCAGCCTGAGTTGTATCAGACCCTGTCTCAAAACAAACAAACCAAAAAAAAAAAAACTCTAAAAAGCGATGGTGGGTTTGGAGAGATGGCTCTTTTTTGGTTGGTTGTTTTTGTTTTTTTTGAGACAGGGTTTCTCCTTGTAACAGCTTTGACTGTCCTAGAGCTCTTATCAGTAGATCAGGCCTTTAATCCCAGCCCTTGGGAGGCAGAAGCTGATGGACCTCTGTTTGAGGCTATCCTGGTCTACATAGGGAGTCGCAGGCCAGCTAAGGCTACTTAATAAGACTCTGTCTCAAAAGAAACTGTGGGAAAGAAAGAAGGGAAGGGGCCTGAGACTAGGTACACGGCGGATCTGGTATTCCTGGTCTCCGGATAGCACCCTGTCTGGCTTTGTCTGCCTGCCTCACTGCTGGGTGGAGCCTGCCCATTCACTCCCTGTGGGTCCGGACTCTGACTCCGAGTACCCCAGTCTGGGGGGGAAGCAGATGCTTCAGGGCTCCCATCCTGGAGGCAGGTGCGCGGTGCAGCCTAGAGTCTGAGAGATACTAAGCCCTGCCCTGGCCGGCACCTTGGACCCACACCTTCCCGCTCTGCCCTCGAGGCCTACCCAGCCTGGATTCACACCGGAAACTCCCTGCCCCACACAGATAATCAGTCTCCAGTGCTAGCCACGTACACCTCCCCCAGCAACAGTTCTCAACCCATGAGCCCCAATCCCTTTGAGAATTTCGTATCAGATCTCCTGCATATCAGATATTTTACACTCCAGTTCATAACAGTAGCAAAATTACAATTACGAAGTCGTGTTTTAGTTAGAGTTTCCTGTTGCTGTACCCCATGACCACGGCAACGCTTATCAAGAAAACATTTAATTGAGGGTGGCTCACTTCCGGTTTCAGAGGATCCGCCCGTTATGATCATGGAGGGGAGCCTGGTAGCTTGCGGGCTGATGTGGGGCTGGAGCTGAGAGTCCTACATCTTGACAGGTGATAGGGAGCTGACTGACGTCACACTGAACGATGCTTGAGAAAAAGACCTCAAAGCCTGCTCCCACGGTGACACCTTTCCTCCAACAAAGCCACACCTCCTGATAGTGATGCTCCCTTTGGGGGCTTTTTTTTTTTTTCAAACCACCACAAGTAGCAGTGAAATAATTGTATGGTTGGGGTCACTACAACATGAGGAACTAAATTAAAAGGTCGCAGCATCAGGAAGGTTGAGAATCACTGGTCTAGAGTCTTCTGCAAAGGGCCCCGTGACCCTGGGGGAGACCCTCATGTACTTAGACCACACACCCTATTCCCAGGCTTCCTCCTAGCTGAGACAACTGTCCTTCTTGTATCCAGGTGAAGCTTTGGGCATCAAATACCCGGTACAAGTACCCTACAAACGAATCAAAAGCAATCCAGGCTCGGTAATCATCGAAGGCCTGCCTCCCGGGATCCCATTCCGCAAGCCCTGCACCTTTGGCTCCCAGAACCTGGAAAGGATCCTCGCCGTGGCTGACAAGATCAAGTTCACAGTCACCAGGTACTTGGATGAGGAAGGGGAAGAGTTGAGACTGGACTGGCGCTGGGATGGGGACCCACTTCCGCAATAGGGGTGTGTCTTAGCTGGGGTTTACTGTTGCTGTGACGAGACACCATGACCATGGCAACTCTTAAAAAAGAAAACATTTGATTGGGGCTGCTCACTTACAGTTTCAGAGGTTCAGTCCATTATCATCATGGTAGCAAGCGTGGCAGCGTGCAGGTAGATGTGGTACTGGAGAGGTAGCTGAGAATCCCACAGAGCCCCTGCAGGCAACAGGAAGTCGACTGAGACAGAGTGAAGCTTAAGCAGGAGACCTCGAAGCCCACCTCCACAGTGACACACTCCCTCCACCAAAGCCACACCTGCACCAACAACACCACACCTCCCAATACTGCCACCCCCTTTGGGGCCCATTTTCTTTCAGACTGCCACCACAGGGCATTAGGGAGGGACTGCAGACCAGACAGGGCTCAGGAGTCTCCACGCAGCGACCAACCACCCTTCTAACTGTATGTACTGCAGCCCCATAGGCATACCCAGCCCCCTGAGAAAGCAAAAATTATGTGTACACACATGACCTGGGCATCTTGTTGAAATGTTGGCTTCTGGAGCTAGGGAGCTGGTGTAGTGGGGAGGTGTTTACTGGATAAGCATGAGGACCTAAGTGGGAACCTCAGCCTCCATGTAAAGATCTGGGCAAGCTGGCTTGTATCTATAACCCCAGCACTGGCGTATTCGCGAAAGAGATGAGAAGGTCTCAGGGGTCTGCTTGCTGGCCAGTCTAGCCAGGTGGGAAACCTTTCCTTAAATAAAAATAGAAAAAAGAAAGGGAAAAAAACCAAGATGTAAAATGATTGAGGAAGACACTTGAAGTTACTCTCTGGCATGCACATACACACACACACACACACACACACACACACACACACACACGAGAGAGACAGGCAAAATTACCTGCCATGCCCTACCTCATACACACGAATGATACAGATTCCAAAGCGTGCTTCTCATCCCAGCACTCAGGAAGTGGAGCCAGGAGGGTTATCAGTTAGCTCCAGTTATATGAGACCCTTTCTCAGGAAAGAAAACAGCAATGGGGTGGGGCTTGGTTGGTCTCTGCGTTGTCCAGTGCGCACGAAGCCCTCCCTGGCTTTCATCCCCAGTACCACATGGACCCGGCACTCAGGAAGTAGAGACAAGAGGATCAGAAGTTCTGGGCCATCCTTGGCTACAACAAAGGGAGTTCAAGACTAGCCTGGGCTATAAGTGATCCACTCTGAAAGAATCAAACATTAAATGCTGATTATATGTGAAATGGGCCCTAGACATTTGTTACTAATTCCTTTGCAAGCTGACGTCATCATGTACCTGGTGGCAGTCTTGTCCCTGTTGCCCTTCCTCTGAAACCCCACTTCTGTTTCCCTTCCAGGCCATTCCAAGGACTCATCCCAAAGCCTGGTAAGTGGTATTCTGTGTGTTTGCCCACACAGTTATGGGAGCTCGGAGCCCAGTCCACCATGAGGCACAACTGCCTGGCTCAGGAGCCAGACCTGGGGTCCTAACACCGAAGCCACGGCCACAGGCTTCACCCAGTCAGAGGTTGCAGGCCCCTCGAACTCTAAGTGTCCTGGCTAACTCAGTGCATGGAGGAAATTGGAGACAAATGTATGAGTGTTGTCCACAGGGTGTGGGGGCTTGGTAGTGGGATGTGAGGGGTTGGGGGGCCGGGAAGATCACGTAGTCTATAAGCACTGACTGAACAAGCACACGGACCTGAGTCTGATCCCGGAGACCCACGGAAACGGCATATAATGACACATCCTTGTGATCCCTGTGCCAGGGCATGGACAAAGGCAGATTGCTGAGGCTCACCGACCAGCCTGCCTGGTCTGTTGAGAAAGCTCCCGGGCCCATGAAAGACCGACTCAAAAGAACAAAGGAAAAAGCTGAGCATAGGGCTGCAACCTTTAACCCCAGCATCAGAAAGGCAGAAGCAGGTGGATCTCCTGAGATCAAGGACAGGCTGGTTTACAGAGTGAGTTCCAGGACAGCCAGGGCTACACAGAGAAACCCTGTCTCAAAAGAAAAGAAAAGAAAAGAACTATGGATTCCCCAGTGTGGGGCTCGGGTGTGGCTAGTGGTAGAGCCCCTGCCTAGAATCCCCCAGTGAGGGGCTGGGGTGTGGCTCAGTGGTAGAGCACCTGCCTAGAATCCCCCAGTGAGGGGCTGGGGTGTGGCTCAGTGGTAGAGCCCCTGCCTAGAATCCCCCAGTGAGGGGCTGGGGTGTGGCTCAGTGATAGAGCACCTGCCTGGAATCTCACAGCGAGGAACTGGGCCAAGGATAAGTCAAGCTTGCTAAGATGACATGTATATATTTCACCATGCCTAGTTCATGTGCTTCTGGGGCTGGAACCAGGGCCTCGTGCATGTTAGGCAAGAACCTATAAAATTTGCTATATTCCTACCCACCAAGACCCTATCTTAAAAAGAACTTTAAAACAAACAGAAAAGCTCCTGACCCTATCGTACCCTCTACAGCAGCTCCCTGGGTAGGCTCTAGGATCCTGTGCCCACAATGGAGAGAGCCCTGGGTGTGGCCAGAGGCTGAGCCAGAGCTGGCAGTCAGCCCAGGGGGGAGGGGAGGGTGAGTGCTTCCTTAGGAGGGCAGCTGGGCACATGTGAACACAGAGGGCTGCCTTCCCACCAGTGGGAGGTCCAGAAAGTCCCTTTCTTGGGGCTGACCCTGGCCTAAGTTCATTTGTGAATGCAGGACTCTTCGCCAATGGCCAGCCCTGACCAAGTGACTGAGCCGATGTCACTGCTAAGTGGCGCTGCTCCTGTTCTTCAGGAAGCGTGGCTGAACCTAGAAACCCAGTGAGTGTATCTGTCAGCCAACCCACTATAGCCCTCAGGTCTCCCTCCTACCCTCTGTACCCTGCTTTTTTTGGAACAGGTCTTCATACGTATCCCATACTGGCCCCAAATTTGGGATCCTCCTGCCTCAGCCTCCAGAGTGTTGAGATTATAGTTGTGTGCCACCACTTCCCACGGGAAGAAACAGTCTCAGAGAGGTCAAGGAAATTTCTCAAAGTCACAGAGCATTCTCAGCCTGGCTGTGATTTGGAAGGAGGTCTTACCCACTTTTTGCTGGGTTGAACTTGTGACCCTGCCCACTACCAATCCTGCTAAGTGTCTCTTTGTCGCCCCCTCATGGCCACTATGTGCAATGACATGGGTCCTGCCTAACAATCTTAAATTCCCAGTTTGAAATTGGTTTACTTTTGGGGTTTGTTTTTTGGATTTTGAGTGTGTGTGTGTGTGTGTGTGTGTGTGTGTGTGTGTGTGTACACATATGTACACACTCAGATCTTCAGGCTTAGAGGCAAGTGTCCACCTGCTGAGTTATTTGGCTGGCTGCAGGTCCTGCTTTTTACGAAAGCTGTGGGGCTCAAACTCACGTCTTTATGTTTCCAAGATAAACACCTACCCATGAGCTCTCTCCTCAGCCCCGGTTTTTTGTTTGTTGCTACTGCTGTTATTTTATTTTATTGATTTATTTATTTTATGTCTTTGTTTTCCCTGCACCTTGTGTGTGCCTAGTGTGTGCAAGTCAGGGAACTGGTGTTGTAGATGGTCGTGAACCACTGTGAGTGCTGGGAACCAAACCCTGCTCTCCTGCAAGAACAGCGATCACTCTCTAGCCCCCACTCCCACCCCATGAGGCAGTGTCTCGTAGAGACCAGGCCAACCTGGAACTTGACGTTTAGCTGAGAATCATCTCTAACTTGGATCCCCCTGCCTCCACGCCACAGTGCTGGGATTACAGACCTGGGCCACTCCTTCACACTGGGCCACTCTTGACTGAGGGTTTTGTTGCTGTAATAAACACCGTGATCAAAAACACCTTAAGAAACCGGGTGGTGGCAGCATACACCTTTAATCCCAGCACTTGGGAAGCAGAGGCAGGTGAATCTCTGAGTTCGAGGCCAGCCTGGTCTACAGAGCAAGTTCTAGTATAGGCTCAAACTACAGAGAAATCCTGTCTCAATAAAACAAACTGCCTTAAAGAAGAAAGGGTTTATTTCATTCAGCTCACACCTCATAATGTCACTGAGGGAAGTCATAGCAGGAACCTGTAGCTGATGCAGAGGCCATGAAGGAACACTGTTTACTGGCTTTCTCTCCACAGCTTACTCAGCCCGCTTTCTTATACACCCCACAACTACGTGCCCAGGGGTGTCTCACCCACAGTGGGTCTGAGTACTCCTATATCAATGACTAAGAAAATGTACTACAGACAGGCGGTAGTGGCGTACGCCTTTAATCTCAGCTCTCAGGCAGCAGAGGCAGACGATTCTTTGTGAGTTTGAGGGCAGCCTGGTCTGCACAGCAAGTTCCCGGACAGCCAAGGCTACACTGAGAAACCCTGACTCAGGAGGGAAAAAAGGAAGGAAAGAAGGAAAAATACTGTACTATAGACTTGCCTACAGGCAATCTGATGGAGGGCATTATCTCATTGAGTTTAGCTTGTGTCAAGGAAAGGTCTTGGGAGCAGGTGCGGTCCCTTCTGTGTCGGGAGGGGTTCCCCAGCTGGGGTGCAGAGGTCCCTGTGGGCAAGGACTGTTGGAAGTAGAATCCCAGAGGACTCCCTGGAGCAATGAGGGTTACTAAGAGCGGGATTAGTAAGCGTCGTGGAGGGAGAAGAGGAAGATGGTCCTCTGCACACGTATAAACAGTGTGCACAGTTGAAGTCTTCCAAAAAAAAACAGGCTGAAGATTGGTTTCCGCAAATCCAGTGGCCACCTGCGGGTAGAGTCTTTCCAGTGACAAAGTCACTCACATCCGGAAGCTAGGGTGTAGCTGCCAGCCTGGGGAGGTGACATTCTCCACGTCAGGGTAGGGAGACAGCCGTGAACTCAGCCTTCCTACTTTTAGGTTTCTTTTGTTGTTGTTCGAAACAAAGCATCCCGGGCTGCCTTGAATTTGTTTAAAGAACTCTGACCTTTTTGAAACAAAGTGTCCCAGATATCCCTGGCTGCCTTGAACTTGCTGGGCAGCAAGGATGACCTTGAACCATGACCCTCTAGCCTCCATTCTACTTTTGAGGTGCTGGGATTTTTATAGGTGTGTACACCATGCCTGGCCATGCAACCCAGGGCTTCCTGCATGCTAGACAAGCGCTCTAGCAATAGAGTTACATCCCGAGCCAGCTTTCTGTCTTTCAGGTCTATGCCAACAGTCTGGTGTGGTGGTGTGGGGTTTTATTTTCAGGCATCAAGAGTTTTGTTTCCCAAATGATATCAGATTTGCATTTTCTGGTCATCATGGTGACCAGCTTCCACCTGGGGCAGGCGGACTGAAGAAGGAGCCAGGGACCATGACATGAGCTCAGGCCTCTGCAGATAGGCCCAGAGAGAGACAGAGGGAGGATTAAGATCTAGAAGGGGATGGAGTGGCCCTTAAGGAAGGTGGTGAAAAAGATGGCGGATGTAGGTGACACTTGTCTAAAGACCTGGATCTGTGGGACCGGGAGTTGGGGGAGCTTTGGAGGTAGTGAACTCCTCGTCAGTGGAGGCATTCAAAGCTGAGGTTAGGTCAGTCACTTCCCAAAGAGAATATTCCATATAGAATTTGCTGCAAAGGAGAACCGGAAGAGTTGTTCCCACGTCATGGTACCTGACAGGACCCACTTCCCTTAGCTGCCCAGTTAGAAGCTTCCCAACAGGCGGTCACTTCCTCTACAGGGTGTGGATGATGGACATCTGTCATCCTAGCACTTGGGAGGAGTTCAAGGCCAGCTTCAGTTACACAGGAAGTTTGAGTCTAGCCTAGGCTACAAGAGATCTCATCTCAAAACTGAATACTAAGAACTTGAGCTATGGTTCTGAGGTTAAGAGTATTTGCTGCTTTTCCAAAAGACCTGAGGTCGCTTCTCAGCAATTATATCGGGTGGTCACGGTTGCCTGTGACTCAGCTCCAGAGGATCCTGCAATCCCTTCTAGCCAACACAGGCACACACACTTGACACACACATGCATACACACATACTATGTCATCATCATGTCTTCTGACCTCAGGTGCAGTTTCAGTGCACTGTCAAGGAAAAAGGGATGCACTGGGGTCCCCACAGGCAGAGCTGTCCTGCTGGCTTCCTGTGTGACTCCAGCAAGCCAGGTTCGGCTCTTTTGAGCATCAGTGTCTGTATCTATAAAACAGGAAGGATTACCAGACAGTGGTGGCACATGGCATGCCTGCCATCCCCGAACTCAAGAGGCAGAGGCAGGTGGATCTCTCTGAGTTCAAGGCTAACCTCGTCTACAGATCCAGTTCCAGGATAGCCAGAGAGAAACCCTGTTTTGGAAATCAAAAACAAACAGGAAAGGTTGTTTTTCTCTACCCTGGGACCTATGTTAGACCTTGCAGATGCAGGCCTGGAAAGCCCTTGTGTGTTGGGTCCCTGGTGCCCAGAAACCTGAGTACCCCAGGGAGCTAGAAAGAGATTCTCAGCAGCCCCAGTTTAATCTAGGACACCCCACAGTCGACCTCCCAGTTCAGGTTCAATGATTATGCCCTACCCCACCCTGGAGAGAATTTATTCCAGCCACTCACAGCGTGGGGGTGGGGGGAATTAAAACTCTTTGATAATAGCATGTTCCCAGAGAGAAGCCAGCCTGGAGCAGAACTCTCCTGTGGCTTTATGTAGGTTTAAGCAATTGTATTGTTTTTGTACATTCTCCTTCATTCTATCCGTCTGTCCGTCCATCCATGTCATGTCATCCCCCACCCCTAGCCAGGTTACACTTTGAGCAGTTAGCTGTGTTTTACAGAGGCAGAAACTGCAAGTTTGGTCGTTTGTGAACAAATGGGGAGATTTATAAAGTAGAAGTATTGTCACAGTTATCTTAAGACAGACCAAGGTTGCCATTAAGTGAGGTCGTCAGAATTTGGCTTCTCCTGTTGAGAGGCGCGAGGTTTTCTCTGTAGCTTTGGAGCCTGTCCTGGAACTTGCTCTTGTAGACCAGGCTGGTCTTGAACTCAAGAGATCCACCTGCTTCTGCTTAGTGCTGGCATTAAAGGCACGCGCCACCACCAGCCTGGCCAACTTAATCTTTTCTAATCAAGTTGATTGGTAAATCTTTTATAACTTCAGTGTTTCACTGGGGAAAGTGGATATGCCATTTCTCTGGCGATGTCTGGAGAAACGTGTGGTGGCATACATCTTTAAACCCAGCACCGGGAAGCAGAGGCATACTGAGGTCAGGCTGGCAAAAGCTACAACATTGCTGGGTGGTGATGGCACAGACCTTTCAGGGGGAGCTCTGTGAGTTTGAGGCCAGCCTGGTCTAAGACAAAGTGAGTTCCAGGACAGCCAGGGCTACAAAGAGAAACCCTGTCTCAAAATACAATACAAAACATAAGCTACATATTAAGACCAGCTATCAGAAAAAAATAAAACCCACAAAAATGGTAACAAAAGTTTAAATATATAAATAAGATGCTAGAAGCACAGAGCAAGGCCAGCCATGCCCCCGTGTCACTCAAAAAAAAAAAAAAAGCCAGGCAGTGGTGGCACACACCTTTAATCCCAGGACTCAGGAGGCAGAGGCAGGCAGATCTCTGAGTTCGAGGCCAGCCTGGTCTATAAGAGATAGCTCCAAAACAGGCTCTAAAACTACAGCGAAACCCTGTCTTGAAAAACCAAAAAAGAAAAATACAAACAAACAAAAAAACATCCTTTGAAACCGAGTGAGCTGAGTCGTGGTTCAGTGGCTCAGCGTGCCGTCCACTCTGGTCCGTCCCCAGGACTAAGCAGGGCATGGTGGAACATTCCTCTAATCCCAGCCCTTGAAGACTGAGAGAGGATGATTGTGTTCAAGGCCAGCTGGGGCTCCAGTGTAAGACCCTGTCTTCCAAACATGAAAACAAAACGAAAGGGAAGCATTCCAGTCCCCTGGGGGATGCCTCTTGTACCCTGCCAAGTGTCCCGTCACCCCTGACTCTGGGGCTATGACTGGATTCCCTACACTGTCAGCTCCTCTTGGGGTGCTCTGTGCCTGGCCTCTGGTGGGGATACTGCTTGGGAAATTTAGGTGGATGGGCAGATGAGCAGGTGTGTAGATGGGTCGAGAGGGGGCGGGTGTGTGGATGGAAGAATGGGAGGTGAGGGGGCGGGTGTGTGGATGGAAGAATGGGAGGTGAGGGGGCGGGTGTGTGGATGGAAGAATGGGAGGTGAGGGGGCGGGTGTGTGGATGGAAGAATGGGAGGTGAGGGGGCGGGTGTGTGGATGGAAGAATGGGAGGTGAGGAGTAGGTGTGTGGATGGAGATGAAGGGGTGGGTGTAGGGATGGATATGAATGGGAGGTGAGGGGGCGGGTGTGTGGATGGAAGAATGGGAGGTGAGGGGGCGGGTGTGTGGATGGAAGAATGGGAGGTGAGGGGGCGGGTGTGTGGATGGAAGAATGGGAGGTGAGGGGCAGGTGTGTGGATGGAAGAATGGGAGGTGAGGGGCGGGTGTGTGGATGGAAGAATGGGAGGTGAGGGGGCGGGTGTGTGGATGGAAGAATGGGAGGTGAGGGGGCGGGTGTGTGGATGGAAGAATGGGAGGTGAGGGGCGGGTGTGTGGATGGAAGAATGGGAGGTGAGGGGCGGGTGTGTGGATGGAAGAATGGGAGGTGAGGGGGCGGGTGTGTGGATGGATATGAATGGAGGTGAGGAGTGGGTGTGTAGATGGATGAATGGAGGTGACGGTGTGTGTGTGTGTGTGTGTGTGTGTGTGTGTGTGTGTGTGAATGGATATGAATGGAGGTGAGGGATGGGTGTATGGATGGATATGAATGGAGATGAGGGGGTGGGTGTGTGGATGGATATGAATAGGAGGTGAGGAGTAGGTGTGTGGATGGAGATGAAGGGGTGGGTGTAGGGATGGATATGAATGGGAGGTGAGGGGGTGGGTGTGTGGATGGACGAATGGGAGACAGGGGGTGGATATACATAAGAGACCAAAGCAGCTGCAGTGGAGAAGGCATTATCTGGAGAGCTGCCCTGCAGGCCGGGGCCACATGGGAGAAGCATACGCCAGTTCTTCAGCGCAATTTTCTCCCTGCAGATGAGGATGACGCCAACAGACTCGGGGAGAAGGTGATCCTCCGAGAGCAAGTGAAGGAGCTCTTCAATGAGAAATACGGTCAGTGCCCCCACCCGGGTGACGGGTGTGTGTGTGTGTGTGTGTGTGTGTGTGTGCGCGTGCAGGCCAGTTTGCATGACCACAATGGCTGATGGCATGTGTGTTAGGTACTTTTGCTCATTGCTGTGACAGATACCCCATCCAAGGAAGGAAGGTTTGCTTTGGGTCACAGATTAAAGCTAGTCCATAGGGCAAGGTCATGTGTGAAGCAACTGTTCATGTCTGCAGTCAGGAAGCAGAGAGAGATGAGTGCTAGGGTCGGCTCCCTTTGTCCATTTTAATTCAGTTCTGGAAGCCCAGCCTGTAACATGATACCACCCACCTTTAGAGTGGGGCTTCCCACATCAGTTAACCCAATCTAGAAACTTGCTCACATACAGATGTGCCCAGAGGTATGTCTTCTAGGTCATTCTAGAACCTGTGGATGATCGGATGAACTCTCATAACGTAGTTGGATGGAGTTGCTGTACCTGGGGTGGAATGTCTGCTGAGTTCGCCTGTCAGAGTCACCAGCTCTTCCCTAGAGTGATTCACCTTATGACATGGGGGCATCTCTCTCTGGCTCTGACCTGTGCTCTCTAGGTGAGGCCCTGGGACTGAATCGGCCTGTGTTGGTCCCTTACAAACTGATCCGGGACAGCCCAGATGCTGTGGAGGTGAAAGGTCTCCCCGATGACATCCCCTTCCGGAACCCCAACACCTATGACATCCATCGGCTGGAGAAGATCCTGAAGGCCAGGGAGCATGTGCGGATGGTTATCATCAACCAACTCCAGTAAGTGCTACAGGGCAGACAGCAGGGCAAGAGCTGTGGGAGAGGAGAGGGTACCCCCCTGGCCAAGGGTACCAATCAGCACGCCGAACCAGAGGTCAGAGAGAATCCTGAGTCAGAAAACCAACTCCCAAGTCTTTTGTTGCTTTGAGACAGAGTCTCCTGTAGCCCAGGCTGGCCTGGAACACACTGTGTTATTGAGGCTGACCTTGAACTCCTACTAGTCCTCCTTCTGCCTGGGATTACAGGCGTGAGCCACTCCTAGTTCAGTCTGAGTATCCTTGAGTATCCTCTGTACTCAAGGTATTTTAGGACGGAGCTGGAGAGAGGGTTAGCAGTTTAGAGCTCTTGTTGCTCTTGTAGAGGATCCAGGTTCGATTCTCAGTGTCCGCATGGTAACACAACCATCCCTAAGTCCATTTCCAGGAGAGCCGAAGCCGTCCTCTGACTTCCTTGGGCACTGTGCATGAATATGGTACACATACACCTGTGCACACAGAAACTCATACAGTAAAATAAAGAATTATTTAAAAAAAAAAAAAGGGAAGAAGAAGAGGCAGGTGGATCTCTGTGAGTTCGAGGCCAGCCTGGTCTACAAGAGCTAGTTCCAGGACAGGCTCCAAAGCTTCAGCGAAATCCTGTCTTGAAAAAAAACCAAAAAGATAAAAAATTTAAAAAAAAAAAATTAAAAAGAAACATCTTTTTTAAATTTTGAGGTAGGAGCTGGGGAGGTGTACAATTGGTATAAAATGCTTATCATATAGGCTGGAGAGATGGCTCAGAGGTTAAGAGCACTGGCTGCTCTTCCGGAGGTCCTGAGTTCAATTCCCAGCAACCACATGGTGGCTCACAACCATCTGTAATGAGATCTGATGCCCTCTTCCGGCCTGCAGGCATACATGGAGGCTGAACACTGTGTACATAATAAATAAATCTTTTTAAAAAAAAATGCTTATCATACAAGCATGAAGACCTGAGTACTGAAGACCACTCTTGGGGAGGCAAAAGCAAGAGAATCCCAGGGACACGTTGGCCATCCAGACTACCTTCAGTTTAGTGAGTGATTCTGCCTGGAAATACAGCATGGACTCTAGAGGGATGGCTCAGCAGGTAGAAGCGTTTGTGTAATCACGAGAACTGGAGCTTGGATTCCAGTTCCCACATAACACGTGGGGCTTCTCATGCATGCCCGTGGCCCCATGAGTAGGGTTGAGACAGGATGGTATCTGGAGTTGGCTGACTTCCAGCCTAGTGAGAAAACACTAGTACCAGTTTTAGGGAGGGTCTGTGCCCCCAAGGGAGATTGGGAGAATGGTAAAGGAAGACTCTTGGTACCCTCCCTTCTGGCGTCCTCCTGTGCATGTCAGCTTGCACACTTGTGTACACACATGTACATAATAAAAATTCTTTAGAATAAAAATAACATAGAGGGTAGCTGAGAAAAACACCCAACATTGACCTGTGCCCTCCACACACATGCATACTATTACACACACACACACACACACACACACACACACACACATGCACACACAGGTCCCCGGTGAGGTGACTCAGCAGGTAAAGATTAAAGATGCTCGCCACCAAGCCTGACAACCTAAGTAAGATTTGCTGGGACTCACATCATAAACGGAGTGAACTAACTCGACTCCCACCCTGACCACTACCGAACACACATGCACCCGTGCATACACAAAATAAATAAATATAAGGAAAAAACTTTAAACAAAAAGAAAAAAATGAGCCAGGGAGTGGAGAGAGAAGAGGAAGCGATGGTCCCAGGATCCCCACTGATCACCTGACCACAATGCCTTATCCCTACCCCAAGGCCCTACCTCATCAAGGTCTAGCCAGGTTGGCATCCACATATTTAACACATGGACCACTGGGCAACACTTAGGGTGTAAAACTATAGCGTGACCTGACCGGGCAATTGCTACATCAATACGGAGAGCGGATGTCCGTCTCCCAAGGAGTGGGTGAGGAGAGGAAAGCTCCTACCTGTGACCTTGCTTCTCTCTCTTTCAGACCTTTTGCCGAAGTCTGCAATGATTCCAAGGTGCCAGGTGAGTCAGAGGCAGGAGAGGCCAGCCTTTTGCCTCATGGGGACCAGTCTCTGGCCTTCAAAAATACAAAAAGCACAGGCAGGCACAGACCTTGAGGATAGTTCAGTGGATAAAGGTGCTTGCTGCTAATCCTGATGAACTGAGTTCAAATCCCTAGGACCCACATGATGGAGAAACTGAGCCAATTCCTGCAAGTTGTCCTCTGACCTCCATTCATGTGCCATATATGCATGCATAAATAAATATTTCTAAAAATAAAAAATAGGTAAGGCTGGGGAGTGGCTCAGTCAGGAGAGTATACCCAAAGCCCTTTTATGATTCCCCTAGCATCACATAAATCAGGAATAGTGACACGCACCTTTAATCCCGGTACGGGGGGGGGGGGTCGGATACAGGCAGGAGGATCGGGAGTCAAGGCCAAGATCAGCTACACAGTGACTTGGAAGCCAGCCCAAGCTACATGAGACCCTGTCTCAGCAAACCAAACTGAGACACTTTGGTGGGAAGTGGGTAGAGGAACCTAGGGCTTTTGACGGTCACCAGGAGATAGCCATATTAGAGATCAGATACTCTGGGTGAGCTAGAGCGCTGTACTCGGCCTGTTGAGCTGGGCAAGGGGTATTTTTAGAAGCAAAGAGGGTAGGTAAATAGGAGCCAGAAGTGGGACAACCGGCCCTTAGGTCTGCTTGGGGAATGAGCCTGGACAACTGAGCCTCAGTGGATGGGTAGAGAGAGTCACAGAGCCTAGGACGCTGGGAAAGGGTGTAGCTTTAGGTCAGAGGTATAGCACCTGCCTAGAATCCCCCCAGTGAGGGCCTAAGAGTATGGTTCAACATGCGCCAGGCCCTGGGTTCCATCCCCAGGATATTGGGGCGGCGGAGGGGGGGAGACGTCAAAACACTGAAAATCTAAAAGCAAGGGCTTTCTCCAGGGAGTTCAGGAGGCCGACGCAGAACGGCCCCCAGCATCCGGTCTCAGCAACTGTTTCTCCCATCAGCCAAAGACATTCCCAAGCGCAAGAGGAAGCGGGTCTCTGAAGGCAACTCGGTCTCCTCCTCTTCCTCTTCTTCATCCTCGTCCTCTAACCCAGAGTCTGTGGCATCCACCAACCAGATCTCCCTTGTGGTAAAGTCACGCAGATCTGAACGTCACCCTAATCCCGGGTAGCCTTTGCCCAGCCCTCAGTCAGGACCACCCACACAGCTCCAGGAACTGGGAGGCACCGTGCTAACCTCCGAGGTGCAGGCCCATCCACTTGTTTTGCCCACAGGATAGACTGAGAGGGTCTGTGCAGTCAGTCAGTGCAGAGATTGAAGTGCTGGTGTGGCCAGCCAGCAATGTGTGTAATGAACGCAGCAGAGGGTCGATGGTGACGTGGCAGAACTCAGTCTCCATCATCTATCGGCCACGTTGCTGAGTGTGGCCCTTGCCTGATTCAGAGGAAGACCTATGTAAAGAACTGGGCCTGGTGGCCTATGCCTATAGCCCCAGAAATTCGAGGTCCAGCTTGGGTTATATGAGATCAGAATGCTTGCCCTTGCTTACATGAAGCCCTGGCTTAGGTCCCCAGCTTTGCGTAAACTAGACCTGATGGCACATGCCTGTAATCCCAGTACTGGAGAGGTAGAGGCAGGAGGATCAGACGTTTAAGGTCAACCTCAGCATCTCAGATGAGAAATTTTTTTTTATAGTTTTTGCAATTTTTTTTATTTTTTTTTATTTTTTTAAATATTTATTTATTTATTATGTATACAGTATACAATATTCTGTCTGTGTGTATGTCTGCAGACCAGAAGAGGGCAGCAGACCCCATTACAGATGGTTGTGAGCCACCATGTGGTTGCCGGGAATTGAACTCAGGACCTTTGGAAGAGCAGGCAATGCTCTTAACCACTGAGCCATCTCTCCAGCCCTCAAATAAGAAATTTGAGGCTAGCCTGGGCTGTGTGAGACTGTCTCAATAGAAAAGAATGGAGGGAAAAGGGGGAACAAAGACTCATTTTAGGATTTCTAGACCCTTTGTACATCCCTTCAGCCCCTTTCTGGGTACTGCCGCAAGCCCAGAATTTGCATTTTCTCCTACCTTCGTTTTTATCATTGAGTACGCCTTCCTTTTACCCCTGTGGGGTGAAGCTGGGTGTATGATGCTTACTGCACCTGCTCACTCAGTCCTCGCTGGTGTCTGATCCACATGTTGAACCCCTGGAACACAGGTGGGGGACAGTCACACCAGGCTCTACCTGTGTCACCTCGGGGAGGTCTCTTGCCCTCTCTGGGCCTCAGTGGCTGCAAAAGTAACATTTGAGTTCACCCTCAAGGAAAGCGAGCCAGTTATTCCGCGAGGTCTTCGTGTCCTCGGGTGTCCTAACCTGGCTCCTCTGTCCCCCTCTTTCCAGCAGTGGCCAGTGTACATGGTGGACTATTCCGGACTAAACGTGCAGCTTCCAGATCCCCTTGACTATTAGACCTCAGAGCCGAATCAGGACCTCAACTCAGAAAGACTAAAGGAAATGTAATTTATGTACAAAGTATATTCGGATATGTATCGATGCCTTTTAGTTTTTCCAATGATTTTTACACTATATTCCTGCCGCCAAGGCCTTTTTAAATAAGTAAAAAAAAAAAAAAGAAAAAGAAAAAAAAAGTTTGGCCTTTATTTATTTTTTTTACAATGGTTATGTGTTATGCTTCTGGTGGTGTGGCCCCAGCAGCCACTCAGGGATTGAGTCAGGCAAGACACCAACCAGCTCAGGTGCCTTGATTTCATACTCTGGGGTCTCACTGTGATGTCCAGGGACAGAACTTATTTTCTTTACTACCAAGGGACTAGTGGCCACTGGAGGAGCCGCCAGAGTGCTTACCCGGCTTTCACCAAGCCATGGGTTCCACCCTGGTATTGTATATCCGGGACGTGATGGTGCACACCTGTCACCCCAGCACTCAGGAAGTGGGGACAGGAGGACCAGGACTTCCCATCTGGGACTGGGGAAAGTATGCCTGTCTTTGCATGCATGATCACCTGACTTCAGAATCCCAGTATCCAGGTAAAAAGCTGTGCACCGTGGCATGGCATCCGCCTATAACCCCAGCGATGGGAGGCTGGAAACAAGAGGATCCCTGGAGCTTGCTGGCCTGCTAACCTAACCGTGAGCTCTGGGTTCAGAGAAGGAGCCTGTCTTCAAAAATTCGATGAAAAGGGGAATAGCAAGATGGCTTAGGGGGTAGAGGTTCTTGCCGCCAAGCCTGACAACCTGAGTTCAGTCCCAGGGACCACGGGAGGAAAGGAGGAGAAAATGGACTCGTGCACATTCTTCTCCGACCTCCACACATATGCTGTCATGTGGGAACACACACAAAGTGTGATTTTTCACTTATATATATCTATTTCAATGTGTTTATGTGTATCCTGAAGTAATGGAGGCAGACATCCCGTGTTGACCACCAGCCTTCAAACACACGTCTAAGCACATTTGTATACACGTTCCACACATTCAGATACACACACATACACCATATACATACACAAAATGGTTCAAGGCTAACTTGCAATACGTCTAACCTTATGGGGGGGGTTGTTTATATTGTTTTGGTTTGGTTTTTTGAGACAGGGTTTTTCTGTGTGGCCTTAGCTGTCCTGGAACTCGCTCTGTAGACCAGGCTGCCCTTGAACTCAGAGATCCCCCTGCCTCTGCCTCCTGAGTGCTAGGATTAAAGATGCGCGCCATCGCTGCCACCGCCAGGCACAGCCAGTGCTCTTAACAGCTGAGCCATCTCTCCAGGCCTAAAATTAAAGGCATGCATACCCATTACCTGGCATTTTTCCCCTTTGCTTGCTTACTTTAAAAAAAAAAAAAAATTGAGACCATATGTTTGAAGGGGGGAAAAAGTCTCTAGAAAGAGAAATACCATATTGTCCTTTTTATTTCCATAATAGTAAATGCTGATTACTGGAATTCTTGACTTTCTGCCTCTGTACAGCTTTCAACCACACACACACACACACACACACACACACACACACACACTCAGGAAGACTTTCTCTTCCTGTGTCCCTTTCATGGCCCTGTCTATCTTGCCTGAACATATTACATCGTAGTCACCGGAAAGAAGAGGACACAATGACCCCAGGATCTGACTCTGATGCTCCAGTCCAGGTGTTTCTGCCGGGCCTGTGCATCCTCACTGGGAGAGGGGCCTTGTCCCAGACATCTGGATCAGCTTCCTCCTGGAAAGATATTACAGACCCCAAAGTTAGCATGCCCCTGTCCATCTCTGCTGGCATCCAACCCCCACCATAGACACACCAGCCACTAGCTGGCCTCCTTTTCCACATCTCAGAGATGGAAGGGGAAGTAGGGACACACAACACCAGGTACTCACCATCATCTCTGGCTCCTGAATTTTTTTTTTTTTTTTTTTTTTGAGACAGGGTCTCATGTGACTCAGGCTGGCCTCCACTTCTTACATAACTGACAATGACCTTGAAGTTGGGGGTCTTCCTGTGTGCTCCTCCTAACACTAGAATTACACAGGGCATTCACCACCACACTCAGCCCTTTCTCTTCAAGACCCTGCACTCCGTCATGGGCCACCATCCTTGGTCCTGTGGTACACCTCGAACCCCAGTTTAGAGGGCTGAGGCAGGAGGATCTGGAGTTGAAGACCAGACCAAAAGGCACTCACTTCAAAAGCCTGGTAAGTTCAAGTTGAGACCCTGTCTAAAACTACAAAATGGAACAAATATAGGATAGCACCCTGCAGTCACCCAGCCTTTGGGAAGTGAGGCTAGGAGATCAGTTCAAGGACATCCTCCTTACATAGCAAATCAGGAGGCCAGTCTGGACCACAAAGGACCCTTTTTTAAAAAAACAAAACCATAATCTGAGCCTGGTGAATCTCTTGAGTCCAACCTGGTCTACCGAGGGAATGCCAGGGTAGCTAGGGCTACACAGAGAAACCCTGTATTGGAAACAAAACAAAAACAGGACGGGCAAGACAGCCCCACTGTTAGGAGTATATCCTGCTTTTACCGAAGTGCCAAGCCTCCCAGCACCTACGCGGGGTAGCCCACAACCGCCCCTGAAGTGAATGAATGGTCTCTACGTGTCTACACACATACATGTAATTTAGAGGAATAAAAATAGATCTTTATATTTTCAAGACAGGGTTTCCCTGGGTAGCCTTGACTGTCCTGGAACTAACTCTGTGACCAGGCTGGCTTCGAACCCACAGGATTAAAGGCATGTGCCATCACTGCCCAGATATACATACATGTATTTGTTTATTTTAAAGTTAAAAACCCTTAGGTCAACCTCAGAGGCAGGACAGTCAAAATTTCTGGGAGTTTGAGGCCTGCCAAGTCTACCTAGTGAGACCCTGTGTCAAATCCCTTACTTAGATCAGGGCTTCAACCACCACCACCCCTACCCCAGCCACCCTGTGAGAGGCAGGGGGCGTAGCTCAGTAGAGGGGCACCTACATAACACATGAAGCCTGGGTTTCATCCTCCACGTTTCAAAACAGAAAACAAGGAATTTTTCTCCCTATTTATACTCAGCGCTGGCTTCCAGGGCGATCTGGGAGCGGTCTTGGTCCGTCTTAGCCTCACAAGCCACCCTTTATCCGCTGCTGGAACCTGGCTTTGGTCTAGATGGGGCCTTGGGTACCTGGCGCCCTTATTCTGGGAGCAGCCACTGGCGCCTGTCTGTGGTCTAGAGTCGCCCCCACTATGACCTAAGGCAACCAGATCAGAGCTCGTGGTTGGAGTCCCTGGGTGGGGCCGGCGCTGGGAAACCGGATCCGAAGCCTGTGAGCAATACAAAGCCGCACATTCCCTCGGCAGATAGATCCCTGCAATTCAGCGGGCCTGGGCTACAGAGACCCTGTCTCAAAACAAAACGGGCTGGGAGAATGTAGCTCAGGAGGTCGAGTGCTTGCCTAGCATGCGACAGGCCCTGGATTCCATCCTGGCGCTGCAGAAAACTGGGCACAGTGGGTGGGACGCATCTATAATCCCAGTACTGGAGATGGCCGGGAGGATCAAGAGTGCGAGGACAGTTTGAGCTACATGAGACCCTGTCTCAGAGCAAAATTCCAAAATTAAAAACAATAACGCCCAGCCGGGCGATGGTGGCGCACGCCTTTAATCCCAGCACTCGGGAGGCAGAGGCAGGCGGATCTCTGTGAGTTCGAGACCAGCCTGGTCTACAGAGCGAGTTCCAGGACAGGCTCCAAAGCCACAGAGAAACCCTGTCTCGAAAGAAAAAAAAAAAAAAAAAAAAACAATAACGCCCACAAAAGTAATTAGTTAGGGGTACCCCTTCAAAGCAGTCTTTTGTTTGAGGCACGGTCCTGGATTACCCAGGCTAGTCTCAAACACAGTCTGTTGCAGAGGATGGCCTTGAACTTTTGATCCTCTTGTTTTCACCTCCCAAGTGCTGGGATCACAGGTGTCTCCACACCTGACTTCATCTAAGAATTTGCCCGTTTCCCCTTGTCCTGGCCTCATATCTCACCCCCATTCCACTTCCTGGGTCCCGAACGTTGGGAGCTGCAGCCCAGCCGAGGTCAGGCCTGCCCCTGGCTTCCTGAGCTCCCAGATCGCCCCGGAACACCTTCCCGAATTCGTCTGCAGCGTCTTCCAGATGCTATTTATGCAAGCACTCAAGAATCTGTGCGCGCGCGCCGCACTTTGGAAAGTGATTTGATTCAAAGCGCTCATTCTTTAATTAAACCTCATTTAACCACCATCTGTCTCCGTTCAAAATGGCTTCGTGTTTTGCAACTCGAAATGAGAATTGTTGTTGGGTTTTGTAAACACATCCCCCACCCCCACCCCCCAAAAAGAAAAATCACAAAACACTTTCCAAAGTAACAAATGAGGGATGTGAATTGCTGCGCCGCGTTTCAAACGTTCTAATTGCCCGGGGATGTGCGCTGGTGGGTGTCTAATCATCCTATATACAAATTCTTTGTATAAAGATCTGGTATCAATGAAAAGATGGCGATTATAGAAAATGCTGGAATTATATCTGACTGAAAACAGTAATAAAGCAATCATCAGCCAGAAACAAGGCCAGGGTGAGGCAGGAGGGGAGAAACAGAGTGGCGCTGCCCACACCTGCTCCCCACACCTGCTTCTCTGGAGGAGCAGCTCTCCCTGCCCAGGTGCATCCGGGGTACCAGGCAGATAAGGGTGGGTTGTATTCTTGGGGACAGGAGCTTCCAAACGGTTACCACTGTAAAATGTCTCTCTGCGTCTCAATCTCTGGCACCTCTCTCTTCGTATATTTCTCTGTCTCTATCTTACCTCTAGCCCCCTCATAAATGCACACACACACACACACACACACACACACTCACTCACACCCTAGCCCAGTGTTGTAGAAGGCTGAACATAACAGCAGACATCTTTTTTTATATAATTTATTTAATTTTATTCTATGTGCATTGGTGTGAAGCTTTCAGATCCCCTGGAACAGGAATTACAGACTGTTGTGAGCTGCCATGTGGGGGTGCTGGGAATTGAACCTGGGTCCTCTGGAGGAGCAGCCAGTGCTCTTAACCACTGAGCCATCAATCCAGCCCAACAGCAGACATCTTTATCAGGGTAGCTTTGACAGCTTACGAGTCAATCCA